AAAATATATAAAGCTTTGAATTTTTGTATAATGATTAATTTTTATTTTTATAAACGAATATTATGTAATGTTTTATTTATTTTCAATTGATATTTACCTGGTTTCATAAACTTTTTTTATTTTTTGGTAAAATGTTTCATATTTATGTTAGCGTTGTAGCTTTCTTATATGATTTTATTCCGATTCTCTTGGTCAAAAGACGTAAACCTTTTTTAGAAAGGGCATAAAAAGAGGCTCGCTGTCATGATTTTCGCTTTAGACACACATATACAGAAAAACAATGAGCGTATCGGGAAAATAAAATAAAATGCTAGGCAAACAACGAGAAACAAAGTGATTATATAAAAACCGTTAGCAGTCAAAGCCGCTAGCGAAAAACAAAAAACGGTCGGAAAGAACGAGACAAGAAAAACAGAAAATAATGCCAAAGAACGATTTCGATTTATCAGCAAAAGCGAAACGGGAGAAAAAAAATACGCGTTTTTATCTCGCTGCTCAATTGATTTACATAATCAACGAAATCGCTTTTTGCCACCCAGCCACCCCTTTTTCGCCCTCCCCAACCCCCCCAGTCCATCCAAATGGCAGTCGCCTTGTTCTCTGTGCATTTAATTAAATGCTGATTAAGTTTTATTCAATGGAGCACACACACAAACACACACACACAGGGCAATGGGAGATATAATATAGTACAATGGAGCAGGAATACGTATACGACCCGTGTGCCGGTTGTTTGCGCATAGATTCGTAGATTAGTCATTGATATTGGACAACGTGTTCGACTCGACTCGAATCGAATCGACCGGCGCTTTTGTAAACGTGAATAATTTAATAACGTCCTCATTAAGATAATGAAATTAGTTCAAATAGTCGCCAGTTTGGTCAGATAATACGGCTGTCTGCCATACAGATTGATTAGACTCGGTACATATATGCACAAACATGTATGGTATGTACAGTGTACATTGTACACATATTCCTCTATTACTTATTACTGATTACTGACCCTATCGCCGTTCTTCCCATATCAGGGTTATATAAGCGAGAAACTATCGAGGCTCTTAGAAGCTCATTCGCTTATGTTTCTTTGCGGTAGGTTAATTATTCTGTTTATTATCTGTAAAATATATGTAAAGTTTAAAAGTTAAATCAAATATTTCTTATAAACAAATTTGTTTAATATTAAACCGAAAAATATTTCAGTCTATAAATGTTTGCAGACAAATATTTTTCCCCATAACTAGAAATGATAATTTCTTGATAATTTGAATGTTTGTTCTTGTGGTCTGAAATGCAGGTGACCAAACAAACGAACACTTTAAAATAGATCTATTAAATTCTACAATTAAAATGAGTAAGAAACAACAAATCAATTAACTCCTTTTGGGAAATAAATCCGATTAGTTCATGCAACAAAAACATTTGAATTATGATTTATAATTATGTAAAATATAGAACCTTTGAACTCTGCTGACTTTCCTTTTAAGGATTAAAAATTTGAACTTATTCAGTTGAAAATCGGAAACATAAATCAGGTCAACATCATTAAATTGATAATGAATTCCTACTTCCGACCGAAATACAATCTAAATTAGCATAGATATTTTAAGAGGATTACATAAATTGTCATCGACATGTTCCAATTAAAGAATATATTAGTTAGCGACACATGTAAATTGATTAAATGTATATATGCATAAACAAAAAATATATAAATAAAGTTGGCAAAATTCGATTTGCATATTAAACCAGTTCCCCAACTGATTCACTAATCAGCAGTGGGAAGATGAATATATATCTCCATTCCCGAGCGTGTGAAACGAACTTTGTCAATGGACTAGAAAGAAACTTTTGGATGGACTTGAGAGTATTTCATTTCTGCCCTGTAAACTGTAAGTAACGGAAGAGCTTAGCTGGCGAAAAAAACGATAGATAAAGATGGAGGCCCACACAGCTGGGGCAATAAATCAGGGGAAAATTGTTGCCGAAGGGGAAAACTTGCCCGGCCAAACGAACAGAAGGTGGGAAAACTGTTGAATTATTTCCCAGGACACCGGCACACGCACACGCACACGCTGAGGAAAATTTGTTACATTTCACACTGTAAGCCAAAGCCGACAACAATAAACTGCCAAATTCGCATAAAATATTTTGTAGGAATTAAAACAGAAGCATATCGAATGCCCCGACTCATGTGCACGGGGATCAGCCGAAGAGGAACCCAAACCCAAGCCTCAAGGAACCCATAAATTCGGCTGAGAAAATCTCCCAAGGAAAACAAAAATAGAAAATGTGTCAATGCAAACAACGGCGAGCCCACGGTCCGTTGTTTTTGTTGTTTTTTCTTGCTGGCCATGGATCGTGGACCAAGTGAATCTGGGCCATAAAAGTGCAAAATGTTTTCCACTCGGCTGGTCCCTGATTCTACCTCCGGTCCTCCCACACCCCTGCCGAAATCACCGCTCGTTCCCATCGCATGCGATGCACTCGTTAGGAGCACAGAATTGGAAAGCACTGCAAAAAAATAGTATCATAAAAGTATTAATTTTCGATTTTTTTTTTTTAATTTTGAAAAACATATGAATATTTTTATTGTATACCACAATATTCAATTTATATTACACAATTAGTTTTTAAGGAGCATTCTAAACTAATAGACATCCATCTTAATTTAGTTAAATTAATCGAATTTAAAATATTTTGAAATATTGAAAATTTTAAAGAAAATAGTAATTAATAAAAAAATTTATTTCTTTTATTTTTAACAGTTTTTCATGTTATATCATTTAAACATTTAAACTAAACTTTTTCTTGCTTTTAAAAATTTTTTTTAAATGCCGTATAACAATACATTTTGGCTTGAATGGCAAATTTAGACTAAAACAGTATCAATTTTTACATCTAATCTAATATATAAAAAAATGTTATTAAATTTATTTATCATATTTTAGAACCTATATCTTTTAAAAAATTTATTTTTTTTAACAAATTTATGAATACAAAAAAATCTTTAAAATCTACATAAATGTAAGAAACTGGTTCTACTGTTACTGTGAAATGTGACAGAATTAACTTTTAAAATAATTTATTACAAGTATATCATATTTGAACTGCAATTGTAAACCAAGGTTCTTGATCACGACAACATGTCAATAATTTACCCACACGTTTTTCTCCCAGTGTCGGTCCAGAGAATAAACCCGGCACCGGCTGACACTTGGACATGGGAAGCGGTCCGGGGGCGACAGAAATCGATTTCTGCGCTACCTACCTGCCGGCCAGGTTGGACTTGGGACATGGGACATGGGATGGATGTGGTTCTGGTCTCGGTATCGTATCGGTATTGGTATCGGTCTTTCGGTCCCAGAGCCGGGGTGTTACCTGTTACCAAGCTAATGGCCAGCAGACCGCGCGACCAACATAAATCCATAAAAACATGAAAAGGGAAACGAGCGAGAGAAAATAATTAAATTGCAATTATGTGCAAACAATTCCAAATCCGGACGATTCGGAAAAAGTTAATTACACGACAATAAAGCGCAGAAGAACGGGAGTGGATATGGGTACGTAAGTAAGTGTGTATGTAAGTAAGTAACTGGTTACCTGCCCACATCTCACATCCGCAGGCTGATTGGCTCGGACTCTCCAGCTGACTTGAGCTGACATTAATGGGTATTTGAATGCGGCTTCTGGGCGCTTTAATCGGCTGACTGTCGGACCGACGGACGGACTGTCGGACTGACGGACTGATGTCTTATGTCCAGTGACACGTCGTCGTCCGCATTACTATATCGTTAGTGTCTGGGCCTTGACTGCGGATGATCGCAATTTGCTGATTTCGCGACTGCAGCACTCGCACTCAACCTCATATCATCAACTGGTCCTCCGATCTCGTGTCTCCCCCTAATGAAGACGGACAGACGGATTAGTTATGGTCTTATGATAAATTAGTCTGATCCAATTGTCTGGTCGAAGGGTAAGGGAATGGGAAATGGATGTGGATGTGGAAATGGAAAGGCGGAGAAATGGTCAGTCATCGAATTAGTGACAACATCGGATCGGTACAACAACTTTCGTTATAGATCTCAATCAGCGGCGGACGGGGAGGGACTGATTAAATGAAATTTAATGACGCTTGATTGCTACTTCGGTTTTCTTCTCGTACTGCTGATTCTTGAGTGAGTTGGTTGCCATCGCTTTAATTTGGTTGGAAGAGGTTATCGCCGGGTGGTGTGGCTATTAATGGGGATACTTTCTGTTTTAACTATCGTAAATTAAATGTTCTTGGTTCTTAAATGAAAGGTCCTTGGGTCAGGTATTTTATGAAGATCAATTGCAAAAAGGTATTTGTTATTGAAAATAAAAATAACAATATTGAAATATTTAAAAAATAAAATAAAAGGAAAAGTGAAGACTCATTATTGTTATAAGACACATAACTGTTTAATTGCCATTGAAATTGTTAAAGTTGAAGCTACATAATAATTTTGAATTAGGCTTACATTTAAATTCCTGAATCTCACACCAACAAAATTGAGATACACTTAACTATCATACTAAAAAATTAAAAAAAATATATTTAAATATTAAAACATCGAAAGGAAGATATATATTTTTCTATTATTTATTTACTCTTTTAAAAAAATTTTGAAAAGGATGAGGCCAATTAAAACTCATTTGGGGATATGCGTTACTTTACATCAGCCAAAAAAAAGGGATTCCCTCTAACCTTGAGCACATTATCCGGTTAAACTAATTAACCCCTGGGCCGCAAAACTTTAATTAGATAACCCCACTCGGCGGAAAGTTGAAATGCGAGTAAATCAGGTTGATGGGCGGCTGACTGACTGGCCCGACAGTCCGGGGCTCCCGGTTCACGGAGTTCGGACAAGTTTAATTAGATCTGCATATGCAATGAGGACTCGAGGGCTCCCCGGTAAACAGGTTAACGAACTGCTGGAATGGACAGTGGCCGGCAGTTGGCGTTTGGCGGCGAAAGGATGCGATGGCTGGGAATTCTGGCTGGGACTTACATATCCCTGGCGATGGCCACGATTAATAACATTAATAAACCCCCCAACGGATATGAGATGGATCTGAAAATATTGCTACAGAAGATCCTATGGACCGCCAATGTCAAGAGATGCTTTAGCGTCATCACGGATGATCTGCATTATCCCATCTACGATCGGGTATTTTTCGAGTCGGTGGGTCGTCAAGTAATCCCCTTCTTCGTGATGCGGACTAATGCCAGTGAGGATCTCCAGCGGCCTTCGCAGCAAATTGAGCTCTTCGTGAAGGCCATTAAGTCCAGCGATTGTGAGCTAAATGTGATCACCATCCTAAACGGCTGGCAGGTGCAGCGATTTCTTAAATATATTTACGAAAACAGATCTTTGAATTTGCAGAAAAAATTCATCTTACTGCACGATTCGCGACTCTTTGAGAGGGATATGATCCACCTATGGAGTGTTTTTGTGGGCACCATTTTCCTCAAACCTCAGTTGGACAACCAGTGGGTGGAGTATTTATTTTTTATGTTTTTTTATGTGTTGTAATTAAGGTTTTATTATATACAGATTTATCATCTCCACCATTGCCTTTCCGGGCATTTTGAGTGGAGTGCTGGTTCTGAAGAATATCGCCCAATGGGAATTGGGAAAAAGTGTCAGTGGAAGGATTTTATTCGCCGACAAGACTAGTAATTTGAATGGTGTGTAATAATAATAGAATATTATACAATTAAATTTTAGAATAAGAACCAAATAAAAACAAGAAAGGAAGCTAGCTTCGGCCAGCCGAAGCTTATATACCCTTGCAGATCAATTCTATTAATTAACAAATCGCAAAAAATTCGGCCCGCCCTAGAATACTATTTTCGCCTTTTTACCTTCATAGGCAATTTCTATTGCAGCGTGCCGAATGAGAAAATCTTAGAAAGTGTATTTAATGACGAGTGTAATAATTTTTCGTCACAAATGTTGATATCAGAACTTTTGTAAGTTGAAGGTGCGATCGTCACTAGTTTTTTACCTCGTTAAGAGGTGTTTTTATTTGATATCAGAAGTTTTTGTTTGTTTATATTTGCTCTCATAGGAGCTAGTATATACATTTAAATTTAAATTGGTCAATCATAATTTGTAAACCATTGTATTAAAACAAATTAAGTTAAAAACCGTTTAAGTATTTCAAAATACCTTTTAAACGAGGTATAGCACATGTCTGTACCTTTAGTAGTGTAGAACTTACAAACTAACTAAATTTAGCTATTTTTAGCTTTTTCCCGCTAAAGTAGCGGCTTTTTCCAAAAGTCGTAAAACAAAAGTTTCCTATTTGGAACTCCTTAAAACAATTGAAATGATTCTATGAGCCTAAAATACAGTTTGAATACCCACGCACAAAATTAAACACTCAGGAAGCGTTAGTTGTTCTGAGCTGGCAAAAGTGGCTTTTTCGTTTCTGAATAACTTTTAAACGCGATTTTTTACATAAATATGATATATACCAAAATTTAAGGAATCTCAAGGGCTATACAGTTTAAAGTTGTAAGGAAAATCGTTAGAGCCGTTTTTGAGAAAATTAAAAAAAAGCTAAAAAAAAAAGTTTAAACAAATTTTCTTTTGTTCATATCTTTTTAACTATTACATTTACACAAATTGCATATAGAAGGCGTATATAGCATTTAAAAATACCTTTCAAACGAGATGCAGCACAAGTCTGTAGCTTTAGTAGTATAGAAGTTACTTTCCGAATTTTAGCTATTTATAGCTGTTTTCCCGCTAAACTAGCGGGTTTTTCCAAAAGTGGTATAACAAAAGTTTTTTATATCGATGTGATGAACGTCATATCAAATTTTCAGAACTTAAAAAACATATTTTGGACAAGTGGACAAGTGGACAAGTGGACAAACTGACAAACTGACAAACAGAATTAAATTTTCATTTTGGGAAGAAGAAGAAAATCTTATTTTGGCTATAACTTTTGAACGGAGCGTCGGATTTTATCATATGACCCCTCATTCGACGGGTATTTTCAATAGGAATACAACTAAAACATTGCGAGGGGGCTTTTATCCCCACCGCCCCCAACAGCTCCAAAATTTTCACTTTTTCACTTTTACCTCTCTCTCTCCCAAACCAATTGATTTTCTTGAGGTCTGCAATCCTTTAAGTTTTTGCAATACCTTTCGATTGGTGTATTACTCATTACGATCGGACTATCACAGCAGATTTTCAATTTTGCGGCTATATAATAGTAGTCGCCTTCGAACACTCTCCTGGTGCGCTTCGTCACTACATGGACTGCCGTCCATAGTGATAGTCGTCCGATTTTGATCAAATTAAAATTGAAATATTTAAAAAGAGTCATATCCTAGAGTAGAAGATAATACAATAAAAACCAAAGAAGCTAGAATTTATTTCCTATTACTTTTCCATTAATTTATCGATTGTTCCTATGGCAGCTATATGATATAGTAGTCCGATTTTTTAAATATTTAATTCGAAATTCAGAAATATTTAAAAAATAACATCCCCAAAAGTAGAAGGTAATATTTCAAAAAACACCGAAGCTAGAATTTTTTTAACGTTTTCTTTTCCGATCTTTCCTATGGGAGCTATAAGATATAGTTGTCCGATCCGGTTGGTTCCGACATATATACTACCTGCAATAGAAAAAAGACTTTTGGGAAAGTTTCATCCCGATAGCTCAAAAAGTGAGAGACTAGTTTGCGTAGAAACAGACAGACGGACAGACGGACGGACAGACGGACAGACGGACAGACGGACATGGCTAGATCGACTCGTCTAGTGATGCTGATCAAGAATATATACACTTTATGGGGTCGGAAACGTCTCCTTCACTGCGTTGCAAACTTCTGACTGAAATCATAATACCCTCTGGAAGGGTATAACAAAAACTTGACAATATCTTCGTTCTGATCCTTTTGAATCCTTTCAATAAAAACAAGAGAGAACGCTATAGTCGGGTGCCCCGACTATCAGATACCCGTTACTCAGCTAAAGGGAGTGCGAAGGAGTTGGGGATAAAAACTTTGATCCGCCGTAACTTTTTAACGAATGGTCCGATTTAAAAAATTTCTTCAACATTTCGATAGGTATTCATAAACACAATAAAACTGCATTTTTACTTTTCCGAAATATTGAAATTTTTAAAATCGTATATAAGCGATTGTGGGCGTTAGAGGGGGCGTGGCGCCCTTTTGAAATAAACTTGCGCTGCGTAAGAACTCCTAGAATCTGCATGCAATATGTCAATCTTCTAGCTTTTATAGTTTCCGAGATCTCAGCGTTCATACAGACAGACAGACGGACAGACAGACGGACAGACGGACAGACGGACAGACGGACAGACGGACAGACGGACATGGCTAGATCGACTCGGCTAGTGATCCTGATCAAGAATATATATAGTTTATAGGGTCGGAAACGCTTCCTTCTACCTGTTACATACTTTTGCACGAATCTAATATACCCTTTTACTCTACGAGTAACGGGTATAATTAGAGTATTATAAACTGTTCTGTTTTCCCAGAGATATATTTATAAATACGTTAAGAAGAAAATAAATTGATCATTCTTATCATTTTCTATCCTATCAATAAATATAAGAATATTATAAACAATTCTGTTTTCCTAGATATATATTCATAAAAAAATTGGTTTAAAATCTTTAAAATATCCTGGTTCTGATCCTTTCCAATCCCATTCTTTTCCAGGAGTCCCGATGCCTGTGGCCCTTGCCGAGCACGTGCCCATGGTCCTGTGGACGAACACGACAAACAGCTTCCAAGGAGTTGAAGTGGAGATTATGAATGCCCTGGGCAAGTCGCTGAACTTCAGACCCGTTTACTACAGGCCCAACCAAAGTGAAACTGTGGACTGGGAGCTGGAAAATGGCTATGGAAATGGTAATCCCGATGGTTACGGACAGAACGAAAGCCGCATTGATTCCTTGCTTATTGAAGAGGTGGTAAGTGGGGATTATATCGAAATATCTATATGAAGTGTGATTATGCTGTTAACATTTTAATCCGCACAGGCTGCTCACATTGCTCGCTTTGCCATTGGGGACTTGCATCTCTTCCTGGTGTATCTGCAACTGGTGGAGCTCAGTTTGCCGCACAATTTCGAGTGCCTGACCTTTCTCACGCCCGAATCCTCGACAGACAACTCCTGGCAGACCTTCATTCTTCCGTTTAGCGGTGGAATGTGGGCGGGCGTTCTACTCTCCCTTTTTATAGTGGGCACGGTGTTTTATGCCATTAGCTTCTTGAACGCTATTATCAACAGAAATGTGTCCTCTGGATTCTTTCGTTGCCTTCGACGGAATCGTGGCGTTGCCATGGATCCAAAGATTTATCGTAGAGTTAGTTTCCGCATCGCCATCAGTCGCTATCGTCCTTCTAAGGAATCCAGGAGACCTCGAGATCTTTTCGACGACTATGCCAACTGCATTTTACTCACCTACAGTATGCTCCTCTATGTTGCCCTACCTCGAATGCCTCGCAATTGGCCACTGAGGGTACTGACCGGATGGTACTGGATCTACTGCATCCTCTTGGTGGCCACATATCGGGCCAGCTTCACAGCCATTTTGGCCAATCCGTCAGCCAGGTTAGCACTATATATTTATCTCTTTATTTATTTTTAACATTAATGGGTTGCAGAGTTACTATTGACACTCTGGAGGATCTGCTGGGCTCCCACATTCCACCCTCTGCTGGAGCCACAGAGAACAGGCAGTTTTTCCTGGATGCCACCGATGAGACTGCTCGAAAGGTGGGCGATAAGATGGAGGTAATCCGGCAAAATGAAGATCTGGTAAGAAAATAATTTAGAGAAAATGTACAACTATTTGTTCCCCTAGAAAGTTAGAATTTCTTTCCACTATCAAAATTCAATCTTTTCTGAGCTAATCAAATAAGAATAATTAGAGCACTAATAGCCTCTACATTCAGATGCCTATCAGTTTCAACTAGCCTTAAAGAAGATCCTAAAAACTTACTGATTTATAATGACACGCTTTATCAAAATTCGTAGCAATGAACTTTATACCACAAGATAGAAAAACAAAATCCAGTTCTAACTTGTTTTCAACGGCAAAAATATCTTATCTGTGTGATAAGCGTATTTGGGCACATTTTTAATTTAAGGGTATTAATTCTTCAAGTTTGCAAAATAATATGGTGTGATATGAAAAGTATTCCGGTGACTTAATAGCTTTAGGTGAGACTAATTTGTTAGGAAATATAGCAAGTTAGAAAGAAGGTCATGGCTATATGGATTTGAATGATTCAAGGGAAAAAATTATACAAATAAATTAAAATGTAATACAAAATAGAAACATTTTATAAAAGTATGGAATTTTACTACTCATTAAAATTCAATATAAGTCCATTTATTTTGCAGACCTCTCGCATAGCCAAAGGTCAGTGCGCCTTCTACGACAACGAGTTTTATCTTCGCTATCTGCGAGTGGCGGACGAATCTGGATCCGGAGTGGGATCTGCTCTGCATATCATGAAGGAATGTGTGGTCTCCATGCCCGTGGTTCTGGCGATGGAGAAGAATTCGGCCCTGAAAAATCGGGTTGATAGCTCCATTCAACATCTGGCAGAGGGTGGTAAGTATATTTGAATCCGGGGTTCAATACACAGAAATCCCATTTCATTTTTCCTATCAAAGGTCTGATATCTAAATGGCTTAAGGACGCCATAGTACATCTACCGGCAGAGGCTCCTGCCCAACAGGAGGCCCTTATGAACATACAAAAATTCTGGAGTTCTTTTGTGGCCTTGGCTATCGGTTACGTTATCTCCATTCTAACTCTTCTCGCCGAGCGATGGCATTTCAAGCACATTATCATGAAACATCCAATGTACGATGTCTACAACCCAAGCTTGTATTATAATTTTAAAAGGATTTATCCGGGGCAATAAACAAAATTAAAAATTAATTAAATTTAAAAAATGTTTTTAGGACTACATTATACTATTAAATATTGGTGTTTGTGTGTCTACTAAAAAAATGTTTACATCCCTTCGCTTTTTTCATGTTGTGGGTTCGGTATCTGCCCTGGATTATACATATTATTTTGCAGACTACTTAAGAAAAGTTCCATCCCATTGCCCAACGGAAAAATTCTCAAGTACTGCAAGTTGTCAATCCACCACAACATTCCATAAAGTAATGATATATGCACACACATGCCTAATATTTATAATTGCCGGCAGCAGATGACAAATGTGTCTTGATACTCGGGGCTGAATGGCAATTGAGAGGCTGAAAAGTCTTCATTGACGCACTAAGAAGCAACAAATGCAGAGCCGAAATGGAGGGGCCTTGGCAAATGCGATCGATGAATATAGTGCCATTTATCACGAGGAGCCAAGTGGCCTCAAGTACCAGTGGCAATGTGGTGAATAAATTCAAGAGCCCGGATTCCTTCAATCACTTTTCGTAAATACTGATTTGCATTGTTTATGAGTTAATGCACATTAGGCATAATTTGTTTATGGCCATATCACAAATCCTGGGAAAGCTGGAATGATAAAAGCCCATAAATAAAACCATTTTTAAGTGCTAGTCTAAACCCAAACAGAAAAAAATCCACAACAATTCTATATAAAAACGAAAACGAAAATCCCCTCGAGAATATCGCGAAGATTGGGGGCTCACGGGCACTTCAAAACTTTTGAATGGGAATGGAAATTCAAATTCAAAATTTCCATGTGATGAGATAGCCAGAAACCAGACGTGCCAAGCAATAAACAATCCAAAGGTTAATAACAATCATAATAATTAATAATCTTTTGTTTGCCCATCTCTTCAAGCATTTTCCATATTTCTTTGTTTTTCTTTTAAAAATAAAGCAAGAAAAGGTGTGGCAATCAAAATTTCGTAAAATTTGTCTACTGGCAGATAAATGTTACTGGATAACAAAAATTAGTACTTGCCTGTCTGCGATTTCTGAAACATTCATTACCTTTTGTAAGATTTAGTAAGAGATGAAATAGTTATACATTTGAAGTATTATGCTTTAAAATACTTTTTTTTACAATTTAGTTGAAAAACTAAATATAATTGTTTTCAGAATGCACACATTTTTTTTAACCAAATCTAGTTTTTTTTTAGGCCAACTATTTAATTACAAAACCATTTATTTATTACTTTTTCTGGCTGACCATTTGTGTCCAACGACTTTTGCTCGTCTAAAAGCTTAAAATCTAATTTATTTATTAGCCAAATTGCACAAATATTTAATTACATTTGTTTACTGACTCTGGAGCTGGAATTTTTTCCACCGTGAAATTGTTTCGTTTTGTTTTTCTTTATGATAAATATTTATGGGTGTTTTATTTGTTTTGTTTTAGCTCGAGCCCGTTGTTTACATTCCTATTTCATATAATTTAATTAGTTTTGCTTCAATTTATTGTGCTTTTTGTTGGCTCTCGCCGTTACTGACTTCTTTCTTTTTTATTTGTATTGAGAGGGCCCACATGAATTTAAATTCAGTTTCGTTCCATCACTCAGAAAAATTAGTTACAGTGAAAATAGTGATTAAAGATTAAAGTTTAAAATCGGATTTTTAATCAATATTTTAATAAAATAAAAAACGAGAATTAACCTTAAAAAAGTTTTCAGAAATTTATGAGAAATTAGCTGGTTTAAGTAGGCCTTGAAAAAGTTGTATTTGTGATATAAGGGACTCTAAAAGTAACAAAGTATTCTTGAGTCAATAATCTTGACAACTAGAACGTTCGGAAAAGATCTAGTCAAAAAAATCTCATAAAAAGAATTAAAATGTCCGATAATAAGTACGCGGTGGCTGGTCCAAACTTCCAGGACTATATTACCTGTCCTTATGACAGCGCTCATCGGATCAGGCCAAGCCGTTTCACATTGCACTTAATATGCTGTTCTAAGAACTTTCCTTCATCAAAAAAGGTGCGCTGTCCTTTCAACACAGCCCATGTGCACAGTGTTTTCGTAATGAAGGTGAGTAATTATTAACTAATGTTAACCTAACGGAACATGCTAGTACATGGTATGCCCGATATTCAGGATCATGTTGCCGAGTGCCCAGACCGCTCGCTATTGGAACGCTACAAGCTCCCGGACATGTTGCCCCCAGTAGAGCCAAGACAGACTGGTTTTCTAATCGAGACTGATGAGGATTGGGACGCCGAACCGCCGGTAGCGACTTATGATCCCCAAGCGTACTGCGAACGGACCTTTGTCATAAGGAATCCGCAAGGAAATCCGCCGGCCGCCCGTCGCGCGTTCCGCAAACGCGAAAACAAACGCTTCACGGGCAAGGACGGATCTTAAAATTATGGAACGATTAAAACAATAAAAATTGGACTTACCAGAAAAAGTTCCATTTTGCACTTTCGCAAAAATGTTGTGTTTTAATTTTTCACAGACTAAAACTGGGGTTACTAAGTTGTAAAAAATGTTGTTTTCCAATTTTTATTTACCATAACCCACTTTTTTACAAGTACCTAAAAGTACATATCGTTGTAATGAACACGGAAAAGTTATATATTATATATTTATTAACAAATAACATTAACATTTCAAAATTGTATTAAAAATATTTAAATAAATTGGTTTAAAGGATAAACAATAGGTACGATAATAATTTAATTGAAACCAAAAGACTTTAGGTTATAATTTTTTTGTTTCAGTATCTCCGAAGTTGATCCGACTTCAAAGTCACCAGTCCGTTTGAATGGTTTAATTGACGTTTCCTTTTTATCCCCACAACGCACCTCCCGCTCATCAGAATTTTCAGCAGCAACAGCCACCCACACGCCCTTCTTACATTCCCGCATATAGCAATATTGTTTTGTTTTTGTTCAGTAATTAAAATTTAAATTTTGTTTATCTTAGAGTCCGCATTTTACAAATTCCACTTTCGTAACTTGTTTACTTTCATTGGATATATCGCTTGTTACATTTGGGTCTTGAATTGAATTAAGCTCTCCACGATTGTAATAGAAATTCTAGTTGAATGATTAATAAACCGCATTGCTTGTATCCTAAATATTTGCTAGGAATTGGAAAGAGGTCAATGTCGATTCCGTATCGCAATCAAAATGGGAGCATTTTCGATTTATCTCAAGAATAAGCATTATACATAGTCTACGATATTTTTTAGACGCATACCTCATAATCCCATTTAAATTTATTGGCGGACGTTGAACCTGAAAATTTATTTCGATCCAAACAACACTTTTGTTTCTTCAAATCTGTTTATTTTTGTCATCGTTTATTTTGGTTATCTAAAATTATTGGAGAAATAAAATAACAAGAAATAGGACACAATACGATAAACAATTCTTTCTTTAAATACTTAAAATATACAATTTTTAAAAATGTTTCAGACGGCTGATTTTTAGTTTCCTCGCATTACAGTTTAATTATTTAAAAACATATATTTGCTTTAAATAATCATTTTTAAAACCGGGCAACTGCTCCTGAACCTTTTTGTTGGACATATTGAAATTGTTTAGAAAAAAGTCTTTGTTTTTAGTATACTGTCTATTGCTTGAGCTGACTTGGGCATTTGGAGTTATTGTTTAAAACATCGGCTGCTGTAAAAATACAATAGGTAGTTGTTAAAAATAACTCAAATCCATTTAATATCCAGAGAGCAGTTGCTAATATGGACACCGACACCACTGCAAGATATTTGACATTATTCTGTTTGCATCAAATGATAAATATTTTAACAATTTAGTTGGTTTAAAAGCGAATACCACATATGCTCCATTTATATAGTACTAAACTAGACGTCTGTATAAGAGGTTCTCAGCTAGTGTTGTATTGTATGCATATATAAAACTAGACCGTATCATAATTTGTTTTTTAAGCTACCTTCCATCGAGTGTTCGCATATATGTATATATAAAAACCTACAGACATGAGTTCATACATAAGTAACTACAAATTCGTACCGAAAACAATCTAATTCCATGGGCTGCTCCCAGTAATCGTATTCTTGCAAAGAAAGGGCTGATCTCAAAAGCATTCAATTTTAGCTCGGATTACAAAACAATTCAATTCCTCTTGGTCAGTTTTCCCGATGACTTGGGATAGCAATTCTTAAAATTATATTGTTTCGTTTAGCACTTGATTGCAGTCATTTCGGCTCGGCTTAAAGTCCCTTTCTAATCCTTCACTCAGCCAAGAAATTGAGTATTTAGTCATTTATATTAAAGTCACTTGCACCATAACCGACATTTTCAGAGTATCTATTCAAATTAAAAAGTATTGGTTTACAATTTTAGCAATCAAAGAAGCTTTTAGCAGTTGCAACTTATTTTAGATCCTTTTTGTTGTTTAGTTTACTTTAACTATTATTTGTTTATGCCTTTTGTTCGTTGACTTTAACTCGTCATTGCTGGACTGAACTTCTCTGCAATACAAAACATTTCTGCTATGGCATATGGACAGATTAGAAGTGAGTAACACATTCAGTTTATTGGATTATTCGATGATTTTCGGTTTTCAAATTATAATCTTCATTTCAGTAAGTTAAATAAGCCGAGGGAAAATCATGTCAGCTAATCTAATAATAGTATTTGATTAACTCCGATAAAGTTATGCCTATGTCGCATCATCAATCGCTAAGAAATACAATATGTTATACATATATTTAGTTATGTATATATCGAATTATTTATCACTGTTGCTGGTTTTGTGTTTTGTTAATTGGTGGCCTAATGTGCGCCCTGGATCTCAGCCTCGCCGGATTCCGCCTCAAAGACATCGTCGGATTCCTGACCTACGTAATCAATCTCCTCATCGCCTTCGACCTCGTCGTTTTCATCGTAGTCATCGGGATATTCCCCAAACTCTGATGATTCACCAAGCGTCCAGGCGTCGTTTTCCACGGAGTTTCGAGGACTGTAGCTGTTGCCCCCGCTCGTGATGGTCAAATTGTTGGCTGGGCGCAGCACACTGTGTGTGGAAAATATTAATTAATATTTTATTTAATTTTGAGTAAAGAGTATATTAATATTTCTATATGCACAAATTGAAATGCAAACAATTTGAATGGTATGTGATGTGTTCTTTCTCGATCTCAGGTGAGTTTTATTCTAACGAGTACTAAGAAAGCTTTTAATCGTTGTCTATGTGTTAGCTTGGTCTACTGACTGGCTGATGTGTGGTTAGCGGGTTCCGTGGTTAGGTTGGTTAAGGAGTGGCATGTTAAAATGTGATGTCGGTTAGGCTTTAAACGGGACAAACATTTTTACACTTTACAAAACCATTTTAGAAATATTAACTAAAAATGTATTATAATATGGTTGGTTAAGTAGTTGGGGTTGCAGCAATTTACAAAGTAATGAAGTTTTCGTTTGAAATCGCCAGAGCAATCGGGGGATTTAGAAATTTTGAAAGATTTGGAAATGGACAATTGTGGTTTAAGAATGGATTGCCTCAGTGATAGTATTTTTATCGTTTATATTTTCGACTTTTTCAAGGGTAAATAAAAATATTTTAAAAAGCACAGAAAGTGGTCTTGTCAAAATTTGGTAATTATGTAATTATCATTTACTTTATAATAATAAGACCTTCACTACAATCAATGGTTAAATACCACATTTCCCATTTCCCTAATGAGCTACTAATGCAGATTTTAGAAATGAGATTTCCCAAAACTGTTCCTGTTTTTGACTATGATCAAAAACATAGTCAGTTCCGGGAATCGCTCTAATTTAGATAAGAAGTTAGAATCGATGCGGTTAGTTTTCAATCTTCGAGAGCATTTTATTGGTCGAATTCATTGCTCAGCCAAACAAAATCAAATGAAGCCGCACAAGACAAAGTAACTAACGAACTGACGAACAAACAAATTGGTCGAGACAATTGCACAACGGCGAACAACAACGAAATGATTGATATTTATGTATATAATATTCAACAGTAAAACTACGACTGTTTCTTAAAGAATTCCGCATTACATTGGCAAATGATAGCCCCCAATCGGCTTCGGGCTGGCTGTCAGTATTATATATTCGTTTCTAGTTGTCGTTGCTTTGGAAAATCGTATTTTCTGTGGATACTATGCATGATAGATCCGCTCTCAAAATGCTCGTTGTTCGATTCGGTTTTTGGGTATTGTATTTGGCACTAGAATTGGATCCTAGTGATACAATCTGCTGCTGCCGCTGCTGCTTGCACCGTGTGTTAGATCGTGTGGCATGTTTTTGTAGTGGAAAGTATTCTTTTTTGCTTTGTAATTTGGTTTCGTGGAAAGATAGTCAACTGAATGCTTAGGTGTAGGCGGATGGCTCAGAAATCGGTTACTAGCACACCATCCGTTGGTCATAACTGTCCACGACGATAGTGGGAGCGTGATGGCCTACCGATTGTTATTGGTTTGTTTTCGGAGTGTCGATTGGTAGTGGTTGTAGTGTTGTGTGTTGGGGTGTACAGAAATTAAAAGAGAAGAAATCAATTAGCAAAATTATAAGTACAGAATGTTGGATCATTTACGACTTAGTTCCTATACATCCGATTTAACTGAGCGGTGTTACGTTACAAATTCAGTACTGAACTCGTTTTTTTGGCCACTACTTAAGTTAAATTAGGAGAAATCATAAGGTTCAACTAGGAGTGAGTCATGAGAGATAGTTGGATTACAGCTAATATATTTGTCTATTTGTCCAGAACGCACCTTTACCTCTAGCCGCGATATTACCCACAACCTTAAGCTAATAAAAGAACCAAAATAAAGGTTACAAATCAAGTTTAGATAAGTAAAAATATGTTGAAAATAATTATAGAATAGTGTATTGAAAAAAGAGACCTAAGTCTAGACTTAGATGTATAGATCTATATCTGTAAATACTCCGATATAAGTTGGTACCACAAAAGTGGCCAATTTTTTATGACTTACTAGCTACACGTTTAATGAAAATGTTGTAATAATATCAGGCCTAAATGAGGATAAACGCTTATCTATAATCTATAGAAATCACATTTTTAAGCTTACTAAAGAATTCTTCTATTAATTTATACCTTCTAAATTAGTTCTTCAATGGAAAAGAGTCTCGATCTGTCGAAAAGTTTAATATGCATTACTTATATAGAATAGAGTATAAAGTCTAAGTCTTTATATCAGTCTGATTGATACATTAAGAATTCATCAAACTAATTGAAACTCTAAAGCAATTAAGTTCAAAACCGTAATAAATTGTTTTTCAAAGAAAATATTCTTAACGAAAATATACCTAAATCTATAAGTGTTAGGCACACACAAAGTACCCTAATAGATATATCTAAAGGGGCACCGGCCACTAAAGACCATCTAATTTACCTCTCAAAAGGCATATCATCGACCTCATCATTGATCTGTCGCTGAGCTTCGCTTTGGGCGCGTCGCGCTTCCTCCTTCTTTCGACGATCTTCGGCGGCTGCTTTCATGGGATCATAGGTGGAGCGACGCTTCCACATGGCCATTTCCGCCTCCTTTTGTTTGTTAACTATTTGAATTAAAAGGGAATGTTAGGAAATCCTTTAAAGCTAGAAGCAATCACAAAAAAAATCCCCACCTGAGGCATCGCGACGCATTGCAGATGAGTTTCGGGATCCCGGATTTCCGCCGCCCAGCGAGGTAGTACTGGTGTTCATTGCGGAGGCCGCACTGCGCACACTGCGATTGCTGGCCCGCGTTCCCTCACCGCGACTCAGGCCCATGGAGGAGGCACTGGGACTGCGTTTCATTTGATCTGCCGGCTTCAGCGTGCTCTTGGCATCGTTTTTGCGCAGAAAGTTGTTGGACTGCGCCGACTTGTACTTGGAGATGTCCAGGTATTTTGGTTGCACGCGCTGTTCCCTCGGATTGGAGTTCACACCAGCGTTGGCTGTTTGCAGTAGCTGCTTCTTGGCATTGGCCAAAGAACTGGGCACCTGTTGGGCCAATCGACTGAGACTTGTTTCCCGGGGCATCGACTGCCGGGTGTTTCGATTGCCCGATCCCGGAGCTGCCCGCGGAGCACTCTTGATGCCCCGTCGCGGCATTTCAGGCGTATTCGGGCAGGCCACCAAACCAGCTCCACTCTGCGCGAGGCTCAGCTTTCCCGCTGGCGCCGAGGTGGGTTTGGTTTGGGCCACCCTCTGCTTGCTCCTCTCAATTCGCATCAGCAGAGCCTTGTTCATGCGCGTGTTGCTCAGCGGCACGGAGCCTTGGTTCTCCTCGACGCCCTCCACCTCTTCCTCCTCCTCGTTGCTGGAGTAGTAGGCCCCCGTGGTGCCCATTTCATCCTCGTCGTTTATATAATACTGCAGCTCATTGTCGTAGTCGCTGTAGGCCTGCTCGAAGTTGTTGCTGCTGGCGGACTTCTTCAGCTGCTGCTGCTGCTGGTGGGCGGTGCTCAGGGCGTGGGCGTGGCGGGCAGCGGGCGGTGTGTAGAGGTTCTGGAAATTGGGACGCGCCTGACGCACCGGATGCTGTCCCTGCTGCTGTTGCTGCTGCTGGAAGCTGCTCGATCGACGCAGCGGCGACAAGGGGGCGGCAGCTGGCTCAACCTGCTGCTCCACTTCCTGGCCAGGATCGTACTCAAGCGAGTTCTTGCGGCGACGCAACTGCTTGAGCAGATACTCGCCGCTGGTGAGCAACTGCAGCTGCGCCTCGTTGATGCTGCTGGTCATGAGCGCCCGGTGGAGCGGAGATCGTCTATAGCCACCGCCTGCTCCTGCTCCTGCGCCCACTCCCGATTCCAGGCTGTGCTGCGGGCTACTCTGAGCCGGCGACTTGACGGAGCTGCGGCGGGAAAGCGACTGCTGTAGGTTGCTTATAGCCGCCGCTGTGTGCTCCAAATAGGCATCCGTCGGTGGACGCGAGCGACTGGCACTGCGCGCACGTCCCAGCGTGTGCAGCGGCGAGGGAATCTTGCTGGGACTCTTGGGTGGCTTGTAGCCCGGCTCCACCATCGCCTGTCCACCGCCGTGGCTGCACAACGCCGGATCGCTGGCGTAGTCACAGTCGCCCAGCAGGCGGTACCGCTCCGCCAGACTGCGATTGAGCTTGGCGGCCGCCGCAAACTGTCGCTGCTGCTGGTTGTACAAGCTCAGGCTGTCGTCCGTCAAGGAATCGCCCCCGGTATCCGAGCAATTGTAGCTGCGTGTCATCAGTTGCTGAAAGCAAAAGTGGTGATTATAAAGGGATGAATAGGTTTCAATTTATCAATGAGAGGCCTGTGGAATCCTAGGTTTAATTATCGTATAACCATAATATTTTTAAATTTATTTAATATTTAAATTAAATTAAATTAATTTAATAAAAAGGTGTATTTTTACTTAATACTCAATACTCATGCCCAAAAAAGTATGCTATATTTTGTCAATGCTTGCTAACGGGTTTGAGTATGAACTAGATTTTTACATTTGTGTAGATTTTACGTCAAATGTCAAATTTAATCTTATTAATATTGGGCTCGTGTTTTGTTTTATCTTAACGTTAAATTCTTAATAGTTAAAAGAAAAATGTGATAAAGAAAAGATATTCTCAAATAAAACAAATTAAACAAAAGCCTACACTTTGTTTTTATGGTCTAATTGAGTGGTAATTAGAAAATTAAATTATTTATAAACAATATTTTGACCACTGACATTAAAATATTTTACTAGCTGACGTTCAATATGCCTTTAAGATTATCTATGTAATAAAAGATATTTTCATAATTCAAAGATTAATTCTTTATGATCTATCAAACAATCAATCTTTTTAGAACAATAGATTAATTAATATAATAGAGAATCTCAGATTTATACACCGTGTCTAACAATATGATCGCGAACTGACTGTGATGAATCATATTAGCAATCTAATCTACACTTGTTAATAGGATGAGGTAAACAACGCTGGCTAAATAATCTATAAAAAATGTTAACTTTGCAAATATGGTAAATTCATTGTTAAGCTTTAATCAAAACCAATAAAACTATTTTTTTTTATTTAGAATAAATACCATATAAAAATATTTAAGTAAATTGGTTTATAAAACTAACTGTGAATCATCTCTTGGTGACTCATTGACTGCCAAACTAGCCAGACAAGATTTTGGCAATTAAATGGGATTTTTCCATATGTTCATTTATCAAATACCGTTGCCCAAATCCGAAACCGGTTGGCCATTTATCTCACCTGTGCCTGCGCTTGTGCCTGCTGCTGTTGCTTCCGTCGATTGGCGCTCGTGCCGCTCACATCCTGCGCCAAGCTCCTGGCTCGGGCATTGCGTGCCCATTCCTGAATCCAGTCCTGCTTCGTCTGCGCCGTCTGCAGGAGGGCGGCCTCCGTGGCCTCCCTTTGCGTGGGCGTGGTGGGAGTCTCCGGCAACTGGTGCTGCTGCTGATTGGTGCTAGTCGTGAACACGTTCAGTCGGTACTCGGCCTTCTGGCGATCGGTGGCCGATCCGGACAGGGCCTGCGTGTGCCGCAACTTAGCCTCATTGCTCACATACTCGGAGCTGTCGATCTGAGAGGTGGACAAGCTGTGCGAGTGCCGGGTGAGCTTGGGATGGGTGTCCAGGGCCCGCTGCTTGGCCAGCACTCCGCTGGTGGTCACACTAGTGAAGCAGCCCATATCCGCCGCCGGCGACGGAGGAGTGGGAGGCGACAGGGGAACCTGCTGACGCAGCACGCGACTCTTCAGTTGATCCAGATAGGCACCTGCAGAAAAATATATGTTTAATAAAATTCCCTCTTTGAATCTGGTTCATTCATGTTAAAAACATGAAAAATTGTATTTTACAGTGTGAGCAAAATTGTTGTGTCAAATACAAAAGTGTTAAAATGTACAAAATAATTGTTAACACACACAGCTCACTCATGTCATTTGTGTTATTTACACAACGTGTTATTAACACGACATATTTTCTTACACACCGTGTTTTTAACACAAATGAAAATTACATTTTACTGACATTAACGAGTCGAAGTTAAAATGAAAAACCAATATGGGGCATGATATATTATATGTTAGTTTTAACTATTTCGAAGCATATGTGAATTCTTATACTCTGGAATACCGTGCATTTTTTAAATTTTTTAATGTCAAAAACTCATTGTGTTAAAAACACGCTGTGTAAGAAAATATGTCGTGTTAATAACACGTTGTGTAAATAACACAAATGACATGTGTGTGTTATTTTTGTTTCTAACATATGTAAGATACAATTTTTTACACACAAGTCAATAACTTTTTTTTTTAACATTTAACATGTTAATACGCAAGTTTTTTACAGTGTGTGTTATTTTGCGAACCCTGGGTTCAATTTATTACCTGTTGAGCTCCTCTGTGCTGGCAGTGGCTGCGGTAGCTGCTCCTGCATGGGCGTTTCATGGTAGTAGTTCACCTCCAGCACATTGCTGCCCCGGCTCGACTTAACGGGCAGCTGTTTGGGTCGCTGCTTGGCACCCTTTCCATTCCTATCGATGTTCATGAGATCCTTCTGCTCCTCCGTGTAGTTATCCCCATCGAGGGTGTAAGTGCCCGCCTCGCTGACAGCATCGTTCTCGTTTAGGGCCTTGCAATCCGCCAGCGGTGGCTGTGGACAGAGCATCTCCACCTGGCGCAGGGCCAGCTGCATGGCGGTGGAGCGGGGTGTAAACTGATTGGCCGTGCGATTGGCCACCAGATTGGAGGTTCCCTTGGTCGCCGACACCGCCGGCGGAGGTGGCAGTTTGGAGCGGCTTGTGGGCCTGGGAGTAGACGATGCACTCGGTTCGCTGGCGTTGGCGGAACTCCTGGGCGACCAACTGTGCCGCTTGGAAGCGTCTCTCACCCGAGAGGCACTGCGATCGCGCACCCGCATCTTCACCTGCACCGGAGGTGCCTGTTCGCTGCTGGGCGTGGCCGCTGTCATCGAGGATATGTCGTCTGCCATGCTGCTGCCCGCATCCAAGCTGCTCCTCTGCGACTGTCGTCCGCTGTACGAGGTTGTGGTGTTCGTGGTGTTATCCTTCTCTGTCTCCAGCTTGGACATGGAGGCGCCACGCTTGTGGCGACTCTGGATGCGCTCCATCATGTTCTTGTAGCGCGCCGCCTGAGCCGCAGAATCGTTCTCGGAGGCATCGAAATGATCAATGGTGAAGGCCAGCGAGGCCTTCGTGGTTGCATTCGACTCGCTCGAGTTCTCCTCCTCATCGCCGGCTGATTTATGGTTGGAGTTGGATTTGCTGTTGCCGGGCTGAGTGCCATGTTGCTGGTTCGCTCTGCTCTGGGCCGCCGCTGCAATGGAACAGACAAACAATTAAATTAGCATTTATTTACAGTTATTATTACCTATTATTTTTATTATTAGCGTTTAAGCGGTGAAAACGAAACTCGGCTCTTGGCGCAAATTAAACTGAACTCAACTGATCGCAACTGAAGTGGCAAGCGGACGAGAAGAGAGATGTACAAGGTGCAACAAAATGTTGAGATTCAGGAGCGGTTGTGGGTTAATGCGGTGAAGAAATGTTCATATAATGCAACATTTCAATTTTTTATGGAAAATTAGGTATACATTTTTTTTTATAAATAAAAAAAAGGGAAGTAGGAAAAATCACCCAGAACGGATTGACATAAAAATCTAAAAAAATAAATCATAATTTCGGAAATAATTATAAACAAAACTTAAAAAGCAGAAAACAGTTTTTCCTTATATATTTTTAAGAATTTAATCATAATTAGAAAAATCAAATTTTTGAAAAATATGAGATATTATTAATTTGTTAGTCAAATATGGATGGATCCTATTTACTTGAACAACCTACTGTCAAATTTAAGAAACATCTTAATTTCGATTCTAAGCCATCCGTTTTAAAACCCCCACTAAGAACATTAGACAACCGAATAACATCTGTTAACTCGTAGTTCCAGCTTTAAAACATATAAGGAAATTCGTAATCAAGCTCCATCCCGGATGACAATATCGAGATAAAGCTTTCCTACAAGTTCAACCTATTCAAGGGCCCAGAAACGCCCACCTGCAGACCGAGGAGATCCCTCACCGCTTCCGCAAGCAATTTCTGTACGTTTCCGCGACCGAAGCAGGGGAAAAAAGAAAATCAAACAATTTGCTTTCAGCTCTGCCACGCGAAGTGGCACAAGCACACACACTTATAAAGAGGTGGGAGACCATCTAGGGGGCCGCCTCTCAGAATCGTGATCTATGGATGGGTAGCTTCTACACGTACTCTATATAAGGCGGTCGACTGCCCGGCAAGTGAAGGTTAGAGTTCGGTGATTTCGGTCAATTGCTGTTTTTTTTTTTTGCTCTAGAGCATAAGGGGGTGTTCCACGGGACAGACCCACAAAACTTTTACGCTCTGCCAAACTTTTGCTGGCCGTGGAACTTCCGTTCGTTTGCCATGAAAATATATATTTCAAACACCATAGCCATATTTACCATAGATTTCACAGCCTTATTTTAAACAAGTTTTTGGTCACGAACGAAAATACATTTTATTTTGGCTACCCATTATTATTTGTATGCAGATGTGCAATTAAGTAAGGAGTCAAGGTGTTAATGTATTAGCTTAGGTGTGAAATTAAATGGATACCGAGATATATTAAAAGTTTATAGTTAAAACTTATAATTACCGTTTTGCACCTTGTTCATCACTGCAGAAAATTGCAGTTTTTAAATTAAAGATATTATGTTAATAACTGGCTGAAAAGTTTCCACATTAAAGCTTATTTTTTATTGGCACAAATTAACTTGATACTGTAATTGCACCTCAAAGCAAGATTCTCAGATATCAACCTCAAATGCAGCTGCTTCTTAATCAAAATCATAAAGGGAAAATCATATGGCAAACAATAAGCATATTTTCCTTGTTCTCTGTTATTCTTATTTCCGGGTTTTTGCAGTTGTACACTTCTTTTTAAGAAAATATAGCTTTAAGAGTTGGACTGTAGTAGTATGTCATATAAAAAGATCTATTGTTAATAATAAATAGAGCACAGAAGGTAGGAGACCTCATATTATGATTATTGAATTGGTTAGTCTTTAAGATCATAATGGTAAGCTAAGAAACTAGTTAAGTTTTCTATATAAAGTGGAGTAACCCTAAAAGGAACGTTCTAGGAAAGTTCCAATTCGGCCTGAAACTAGAACGACATTATCCGCTTGTTGGATCACAAAATTTGCAATCTAATTTGGCAGGAAATACATCCCCTCTATAGAGCGAAGCAATCACCGATAGACAATAGACCGCAATAGGTAACGACTGACTAACGGTAATTACGCTGCCCACTGTGCATGGCCATAAAATGTCTTCTATCGAGTTATCGCTCGGTACCCCACTGCCTTTTGCCACCATCAAGTTTTCTATGGGCCAACAATTGAAACTGTTGGCACAGCACACAAATGTCGGGTATTATTGCCATTATTATTACTATTGGCCATTGCCGTAGACCGTATGTCGAGTAGTAGTGCTCGTTTAAAAGTCTTTTGTTCGGTTTTATTTGATAGTCGCCGTTGTTGTGTAGTCCCTTTTACTTTTCGCAATAAATAAAACCAAAAATTTATTTTTTTTTGCCACTTTTTTTTGTTTGTCGGTCAGCTAGCTTCTTTTGTTGTTGCGCTGGGAAAGTCGAGCAGTGGAAATTTTGTGACCGCCCGCTGATTTTTGATCATTTGCTTTTCACTTGCCGCAGTTCCGAGTGTTAATTCGAAAATTTCGGTTAGCAAATGTGCAGTCTGAGATAATCGAGCGAATGCAAAACGGAAATCGATAACCAAATCTCTCACGCTACCAATTGGTTTCCAATGGGTTTCGCTAATTGCATTTTGAGCTTGCGTCATCGCCGATCAATCGTTATTTCACTGTGTGGTCTTTTGGTTCCACTGTGATTTTGCTGCCTTTCGAGCGGGTCAAGTTCTCACATTTAAATAAATGCTATTAACAATTTATTAATACTTTTTTACGCTCGGCGACACCAGAGAAAGCCACCGATGATCATCATCATCTGTCATCTGCGAATGAGGTCATCGACTGGCGGCCATTTGTTGCGCCTTGTTATCGGCGATTGTTTGGCTTTTACGGGGCATTTTAATATATACTTGAGATATTGCGGTGCTCGAGTTGAAGATGAAAATTGTTGGGAAGTAGTTCAAAAATAATTCATATTTTTGGAAAGAGCACAATCATTCAAAAAGCTTTGGAAGTCCATTAGATCATGGCCATAAATATGGGAAGGTCGTGCAAGAAAATATTAATCAATGTGGTTGAGTTCGACCAATTTTTAAATATTTATAAATCAAAGATAATTTAATAATAGCCTGACTTTCTATTCTAAATATGTTGACAATCTTTATACGTTGTGACAACATTGTTAAAATATTTTAGAGACAGTTCTTGACGTGCCATTCAAGAGCCTACAAATTTAATAATAAAACTAATTAGGCATGTCCAAATCCCTATCAATTTGGGAACAAGGCCAAAACCAAGAGATTTTTTCCGAATCTTTTTGATTCTTGGGTGTTTGCCAAAAATTAATGCTACAAATTTATATTGGATTGGAATGTGCAGATGTGAAACGTAATGAAAATGCAAAGAACAAAATGGATTCTATTAGGAAAGTGGCACGTGACTTTTAGAATTACGTTATGTACATTAATTATTATTTTTAAAATGCTATAAATCAACTTTCAAAAACCATTGTCGAACACTCTTTGAAATATATCACTTTTAAATCCACTTCGTCATTCCAATGTGCTGAATCAGTTAAGAAATGACATAATACCCTATTCGCAGAGTTCGTTCAGACTTCGACTCTCATTGTCAACGGTACTTAAATCCGAACCTAAGTTCCCAGACCCCCACATTCCCCCTTGATTGCCACCTTCGTCAAGTGCGTCGATTTGTTTTTCATAAATCTCCCATTTCGCAATGTTTATCAGTTTTGGTTTCTTTCCCCAGCGCTTGCCAAATCTTACACAATTATAGCCGTCACCGTCATTATCTCACACATTTTCATTCCTTGCACGCAACTCATTGGCAAACATAAAAAAAATTCAAAAAGTGAAACAGATTTGAGACTGAGTATCTGGACGTGGAAGTGGATGACTCAGCCCACAGCTGCGGGCGTTGATCGATCGGAGGTTACTGCGATCCGATCCAGACTACGCTTTTCTGGGATGCCAGGCATTGCCAATATTAATCGGAATCATTTAATTCAAAACAAAGGAATTTAGCCACTCATGTGCGCAAATCTTTCAATGAAAACGTAAACAGAACTCGGCCAGCCAATCCGCTGTATATTCGTAAAAATATGTTTTTCGTTGTTCTGTTTTTATCCGAACTACGAAAGTTGTTTACCTTTAAAGTTTAAACGATGCCTTGTCTGGAAATTTGCATTCAAAGCAATATATTTATAACACCTTTTGTCTTTATAAAGAGCTGTCGATTAAGTTTTTAAGTGTTTTGCTAAAATTTTAGCTTTTTGGTTAATTTTGTTCACAAATTTCATTCAAAATATTAAACACATGTTGCAATTGTTTGACTGCAACACTTGAGAACAAGTGTGTATATCCCAACCAAAGATAATAGAAGAAATAAATCAATCAATGTTTTCAATTTGTAAACATTAAACTTAAGAAAAATAAACAGTTTTTATCTCTGAAACTTTGTATTACAAAAAGAACATTTTTATTTGCTTCTATTTATAGTTTTTTAATACCTGGTAGTCAGAGTTTCATTATGCAACTTAACGAAGGAGATGTAAAAACTGCACATGTTAGATATTAAAACTTTTTATTTCGTTTAAAAAGTGATTATACCTAGTCAGGTGTTTTCTGTGGATTTGTTGTATTTTATTCTTTTATAACTTAACTTTGTAACTTATACTTTGTATTCTGTAAAATTTTCAGAGGTGCGAAAATAAGACTTTTAAATCAGTATTTCCGGACTTTCCAAAAGGAGAACGATATACAAGCTTTTCAAGATTGGCAACTTCTTAGTTTGGTGTCATAGGGCCATAAATAAAGAAGAAGCGCACAAGCTGATGTCACTTGCCGCTTTCGCAGGCTATTGATCCCGTTCCACTTTCTCGGAACCAGAATCGAGAACTTGCTTTTCAACCAAACTCGGCCCACTGTGCCAATCTGAACAACAGCATAAATGAGGTGTGTTTGAGGGTGTGTGTTTCGCTGTGTTTGTGAGTGCCAGGCATGACTATTGCAATAAATATTTGCGCTTAGTCGTGGCCAGAGACTCGCACAAAATAACTTCATTAAAAATTCAAATTAACAGAGAAAAAAGCAAAGACAAGCCACAACCTGGAACGACAAAAGCAAGAGCAACAGCACCATGGCTAAATTAGCCATCAATTGTCGCCGGCTTTGCGGTTGCTGCTGCTGTATCGTTTACTTTTACAGTAAAACTTCTGTAACTTAAACCAAGAAGCTTGAAATTATGAAGAAGGGCTAATAAAATAGATTTCCATAAAATTATAAACAATTTTTTAGAAATCCTAAGCTCTTTAGATTTTAGGCTGAGAGGGTACCAACGTATTCAATGGAAATACATTTTTAAGACTGAATAAAAATTAAATAATTGAACTTCAATTGGACCTACGAGTTTTCTTTCAATCGCTGTAAGGGAAAGCTAATATATATGTAATTCCCGAACAAAAGTTTAAATAATCCAGAAAATTAGCTAGTCATAAATACACAATGCTGCTTGAATTTACTCAGTCATTACCGGCACATAACTGATTTTTGTAAAAAATAAAAATTATAAAATTTATTTATGATTTGACTATTTTTCGAAGAGTTTTATGCAATCATACATGGATAATACTTTTATTTTATCAATCGCATAGTTTCCTAAAAACATTAATTTTAATGTTCACCTAGAGTATTTGAATAAACTATTTCGTAAAATCTAAAAAAAATCTAAAAAGTTCTACTTAAATGGGTACCACTGTCCTCCTCCGCAAATGTATCTCACCTTTCTCGGCCGGCGATGGTGGCGGCTTGCCAAGGCAGAACTTGCCGCAGGACTCGTCGATGGCTGCGCCGAGGCCCACGAAGCCGGGATTCATTGGATTCCTGAGCTGCACGTGGCGGGGCGAGGGTATGGGCGAGTTGGCCGAGGTCGTGCCATCCGGACTGTCCATTATTTCTGCGATTTTCTTGATATTCTCCGGCGTTGTGTCGGCCTTTTCGCGACCATCGCTACTATTGCCATCTTCGTCGCCAGCATATTGAGTGCGATGGATGGACAAATTGTCGCGGCTCTTGACTTTGGATGAATCAGCTGCTGCTGTGGCCACGCCCCCCACAACTGACTGGGGGGCGGTGACAGCTGATGCCTCCACTGCGCCAGCTGATGTTGCTGCTGCCGACGATGATGTTGTTGTTGTTGTCGCGTCATTTGCGTATGATGTCATTTTAAGCCTTGGCTGGGTAGTAATTTTGCAACAAATCGGAATTTATTGTTGGTTTAGAAGGTACACCTATTTTCGCCGCTTTTCTTTGCCTACTTAGCTAATTAATTAGCGAGTCATTTCCACGTTTTTCCGGCCTTCGTTGCGTGTTGTCTGCTACCTTTTCTACTACTACGCTTTCCACATCCTGCTGCGTTCTAGTGTCGTTTTGTGCGTGAAGTGAATTCCAGTGGGTTGCTTTTTGCCTGGCAAACGGAGGTGTGAAAATGACATTAGCTGCGGTCGAAATAATAGTGGTAAAGGTTTGAATAATCACACTTTTACTTAAACTTAACTTTTTAGATAAAGAAAAAAATCGATTTTAATTGGGAAATTTTAAACGTTATAAATATTCTTGTTTACTATATATTTCTAAGTTATTTATTGGTTTTTATGGATTCTTTCATGTCCCGGTAATTTATTTATAAAACGTAGAGCCACTAAACCGAATGCCACTATTATTTTGACCGCTGCTGTAACTTGAAGTACTGAAAAACACTTTAATTTCTCGGTTTAAGGATGCGTGATCACGCCCCAAACGAAAACGGAAACACTGAGACGACACGTTGAATAGGTAAATGGCCCAAAGAATTTCCAATTGCGCGACGTGAGTTTGAGTTTTCCGATTGGACACTTGGAAAACTATTCGGACATTTTCCACATGGGTAAAAATAGCCGAAACGCAGAAATTCAGATTCTCGGCTGCCTTTTCAAGGTTGCTTTTGTTGTGGTGCTCGAAAACCTAATCGGATATTTTATTTTTACATTGAACACTTTTGGAGGCACACGCACATACACACACGCACACAAAAGCGCAGACTTCTTGCCTCTGGCCAACACATACATACTTTCAAGGGCAGGGTCCGCAGCTTTGGACTTTTCACTTGCATTTCCCTTTCGATTTTCACTTGCTCAGCGGCTTTATTTTCCGTTGTTCCTTCAGCATTTGATAATGAACTTTTCTTTATCTTTGTCTCGATTTTCCGATTCGCGACACGCGCTCGTTTTTTCAGACCAACGCTTACTCACGGCAATTCAGTCAAGAATGAGCGTCGCAGGTGTGCGTGAGTTGTTGGCCTGGCCAAAAGTGACGCGCCAGAGAGAGAGAGGGAGCGAGCACGCGACAACAATACAGCGGAGAGCGCACATTAGAGTTGCCATCTATTGGTCTTGAAGTTAGCATAATCTGGCTATAAATAGCTAAATGCTTATTATAGGGTAGCAGGCTAAAAAGCTTATTTTTTGTAGATATATCCCTGAATTGTAAACAAATGTTTGTTGGTTCCAAAATAATAAACAAAAACTTAAGTAGGAAGGTTTACATTGTATGCAATTTTTTTACTATAATTTGTATTTCTGCCCATACACGTTTTTTAAATAGCCTGTGATAACTTTATAATTGAACTCTTTAAAAATGTACAATTTAATTAAATATGAATAAACTTTGGGTTTTTCCGAAGCCAGACCTGGCTTAAAAATAGCTTAGCTTGCAGCACTGCCACAAAGTATTTGCTTTTGGAGAGAGAGTAGACAAACAGCTGGGAGTTGCCAGAGCAATTCAGGGTTGTCGTGATGTCTCTGGATAATTAAGTTTTCCTATTAAAAGCCATAATATTTCAATGCAAAAAAAAAAGAAAAAAATATAGATGGCTTTCCTTGATATATTCAACACCTGATTATGTATTGTACCCAGGTATTTCGGGAAAATGTTTGGAGCCAAGACCAATTAACAGCAAGGTGGCAGCCCTCTCTTTATTTATCTCTCTCTCTCTCTCTGCCACTCTTTTCCGCTCTCCGCATTGATTGTTTTGGCCTGGCCAGAAGCTAATTAACCCGTTGAATAACACAGAACAGACCAGAACACAATACACAAATCGGATAACTCAGCGAGCGAATCGCTTTCTGCAAATTAACGCCTCACTGGGCACAAATATCCGCAGGCAGTGCACTCGACAGGTGGCCTTCAAATGGCGACGCTAAACGCTATTTTTAAATCGAACACTTGCGATCACTCTCGTTTTTCGCGCGAACAGGTGAACAAACTTGCATTCCCGTTTAAAAAAGGATTTTATAAGACTGTCAAGTGGTCGGAACAATAACAATTGCCGCGCAAATGATAACAAGAGAGCGAGAGAGCATTTTCTTATAAGAATTCCTCCCTTTTCTCATCCCGTTTTGTATTGGCATTTGCTGCCCCACCAATATTTTTTTTCGCCCCCTTCCAATTGGTGCACTTGTTTCGCGTTCGGTTTTCACAGCTTATTTTTCACTTTTCACCATTTCGATTGGTTTATTTTCAGCTCGATGAGCTGCACTTTATATTCACACAATAATTTGGTTTTATATCGGATTATTTACTTGCTGGACGAAGCAAAAAAAAACAGCGCCTGGAATTGCAAACTTTTTCGTTTGTTGTGCCAATCAGACTCAGTGTGACCGAGTCCTTAAAAAAGATTTAAACCTTGGATGATAACCCAGGGCTGCCGAAATATAACGGTACTTCGATTTTAAATAATTATAGTTAATTAATATTTAATAAGTATTAAATTTTAAATTATGAATTAATTATATTGAAAATTCATAAAATTAAACTTTTATAATTTATCATTGTTTGTGCTTTTAAAAACATGAATCTAATACTGGGATAGGACAAATGTTTAATTAGCTCGATTATTCTCTTAAAATTAAATCAAATTCCAGACTTTCTAACTTTCTTTAAAAATATTGGGAAACTTCTTCAAATGTGCGGAACAGAACTTCACTAACCCAATTCTCAAAAACTTGCCTAACTTTTTATTGCATTCTGATAACAGCAGATAACAGCTTGATAACCAATTATAAAAACAGGTTACTTTTAAAGTACGCCCCAATAAAACATGAATTTCCCAAGAAATTAAAACGTTTTTTAGTTCGGTAGTTATAAGTTTTAAAATTGCATTTATTCAGACATACATTTATATTTGCACGGGTATGTTAGCTATGCATGTGTATATGGTTGGAGGGCAGGGCACAAAGCCAATCTTTATCTTTCTGTCTCCCCAGGGAGCTTACAAAACTAATAAAAAACGAACGCAAACTTACAGACTGACTGATGCTGACTTGGCTGACGGTTAGCATACATATATGTGAATGCGCTAGCGGTTATATATACGTATATATAAATATAAATCTGTTTACACAAACTGATAAGTAACGGGGGAAAGTAAACGGAATGCGGAATACTTAGTGGGGGAATGTTATATCGATCTATCGCCCGTTCCAAAGGCCCACGTGTCCGTTCTCGAATGCCAGATTGATCCTCGGATGAGGAAGTGGCCTGGTAGCCGCCACCGACTGCCTGGCAGGATCATCCTCGAAGTACAGGCACTGCCGCACAAAGTCCAGGAAAAGATCCTTCGCCTGACTGGCGGACGAGGGCAGGGCCTCCAAATTGGCATCGCTGCAGAGTCCCTGGACCAGCTGCTCGCAGATCCTCGTATTGGTGTCCACATCGAACAGGGGAACGCCAAAGCTAACGTCCAGCAGGGTCCACTCCTCAGTGGCGTCCTCCTCCTCCTCCTCTGGGGAAATCTCCTCCTCCTGCGCCATCGGTATTTCCACGGAACTCTGCGACACCAGATCCGCACGACTGCTGCTGCACTTGGCCAGTTCGCTGGCCAGCACTTGGCTGCAGTCCGGCGAGGTGAACTCATTGGCAGGAGGAGCATGTTCCGGCGTGGCTGCAAAGTGGTTTTCATCGGGACTCTTGAGCTGAAAGCTGGTCACCTCGTTGGTGCTTGGCACATGAATGGGTTTGCTGATCGATGAGCGTTTCTGTCGCTTCAAATGCACCTGCAGCTCGTAGTTTTCGCACCCAAGATCGGGAACCCCGGTGTTCAGGAATGTAATATAGCCGCACTGCTGGCGGAGGTCCAAAAGATTGGACAGCTTGCGCACGGCTCGATGGGCGGCCCACTTTGCCTGTCGTGTCTCCGCTGGCTGGAAAGGAAATGACTCATAGTGAAGCAAGCCGGCTGTGCGGATGCCATAGCCCTGCAGCAGCACACAGCCGTTCTTGAGCTGATCGTTCAGGTTGCGGTAGTTCTCCGAATTAAGCACATATGCATCCGAGTGCAGGATATTCACGAGCAGCTTTCCATAGCCCAAAAATAAGCGAGGCAAGGTTTTCAAAACAGTTCCCCTGCTGAGCAGCAAACTGGGCGGTCCGTAGCCTAAGTAAACGAATATTAATAAATAATAATAATAGTAATAGTATCGATTTAACCTGTGATATGATTGTAGAACAGCTTGCTCCACATGGGCGCCACATCGGAGCTGCGCAGGAATTGGCCAAAGTAGGGAATGCTGAACGTATGACTCAGTGCCGCCGTCAGCGGCGAGGCGGCTATAATGAACTTGTACTTCTTCTCCAGCACGCGATCCCTGGTCTGCCGATCCAGGCCCTCCAGGCACTCCAGCCGCAGCAGATCCAGGCCGCCGGGCAGCAAATGCCGCAGCGAGCAGATGGTGGAACGCAGAATGACGGCGTGGGCAAAGTAGCGCGAAACGTCGCCCTCGCCCTCGGCGTCCAGCAGCGAAACCTGCTCCAGTTCGGCCAGAAAGCTGTCCAAACTCTCCTCGCACAGCTTTCCCACTTCGAACATGGTAACAGCGTGGTTTTTCAGGCCCGGCGACAGGTTGCCCATCATCAGGAAGGCGGTGAGCGTGGAGTCGAAGAGGAAACCCACCCGCTTGCCGCTTTTTGGCAGCGGAGCAGCAGCCTCTGGTTCCATTTCCGAGCTCAGCTCCTGTTCATCGCTGTTGTTCAGCCGCTCCTGCGGCGTGGTATTCAAATTGGCAAAGCTAAAGTCACTGGTGTTGCCGTCCGAGGAGAGATATCCTATGGAACTACTGTCCTTATCCTTCGGCGTCTTCGGGGACGATTCAAAGCTGCTGCTGGCATGTAGGTTGTAGTTCAGCGGCGTGATCTGTGGCGTTTCGGGCGTCTGCTCGCGGTTGTAGCCCTCCCAACTCGCATGATTCGGCTGGTTCAGCTGATCCTGCTTGCGATGGGCAAAGCCCAGGCGGCAAATAAACGAAATGGCCTGCTTGACGCTATCCAATTCCAGTTGCAGCATCTGCGCCAGCTCGGCAATGGTCATGTGCTCATCGGCGCTAACGAAGATCTTGTAGAGCAGATTCTCAAAGTAATCGCCGCTCACGCGGTTCATCACAAAGTTGCGGAGCGGAGGAATGGATATTCTATCCTCCCCACTGATGGGCACATCCAAATAGATCAGACCCTTCCTGTACAGGCTGTGGACGACCTCGTGATCGCATTTCCCAGCCGGCTGGGCACCGAAATCGATGAGGTCATCGAGGAGACCTCGCTCAGAGGGCGTTAAAAACCGGATATCCGCCTCCAGGACATAACCGATGTCCAGTCGCCACCAGGGTTCGATGTGGATGCGCACGGGAAAGCGCGGCAGGAAGTCCAGCGGATTGGGCCGCGAACCGAAGATCAAGGAGCGTGGCGTGTGGGTTTTCAAATCGCTGATCAAGGCCAAATACTCATTTCGGCCTATGCCTAAAACCCTCAGACAATCGGCTGCCGTGAAATTGGGCAGCGTATCGTAGCTTTTGTCGCTCCTTAGCAGCTGACCCAATACATCCAGGTAGTAGTTAAAGGGCGTCACCCTTAGGCCCTTGGTCACAATATCCGCCAGGTGATAGGGAAAGGCGCCCAGACCATTGATGCTCTTCTGCACCAACAGCTCGTAGTAGCGCTGCTCCCGGCGGAACACCTTGGCGGCCAGGTTGCCACGAAAGCGCAGCTGATTCTTCAGGCTGTAGTTAAACACAAACTTCTCGTAATCCCGCTGATTGTTGTGCAGCACGGAACGCAGGTGCACGGGCAGCGATTCCCAGGCGACATTCCCACGCACGCACTGCTGCAGTTGGTTCTGGCAATTACTACCCGATCCCGCGGAGGCAGCGCTGCCTCCGCCTCCGCTGGCCAAATCCTCTTGCTCCGTCATCGCGGCACTCGGACTTTGGGGCTCTCCTGCTGGTCGGTCGGACTAACTCATTCCATTTCCTGCGGAATTCGGTATTTTCCTCCTGCGTTTTATTTTTCTTTTTTGTTATCGATAGAACGATAGGCCCGATAGCAGGTTGTTTGTTTCTACGTCGACAGCTGATAAAAGCCGCGGGTGTTTTGCAACACTAGTAAAATTGCAAGCAAATGCCCCTAATATTTTATCCAGTTCGGTTATCGCAGTAAAAATTTTATTCATTGATTATTATGTTTATTAATACAATGATAATAATAAAATGCAATTTAAAATTCAATGAGCCTTTGCAAATAATATTCTTAAGTACCTAATAATATCGCGAAATGAGTTTAAAAATTACAATCAGTCTGGGTATTCCCTAACCTGTTGAATTGCTGAAATGTTGAATTTTGGTCGGCTGTTAATCAGCTGTTCCCTACAAAGTCAACTTTCAAAAATTTCAGCAATTCAACAGGTTGAAAATTATAGGGGGATTCCCTAAACTGTTGAATTGCTGAATTGTTGAATTTTGGTCAGCTGTTAATCAGCTGTTCTATACAAAGTCAACTTTCAGAAATTTCAGCAATTCAACAGCCTCGAAGCTGCTGAAAATTTTGTTGAATTGCTGAAAAGCCAGAGTTGTCACCTTTTTTTAAAAGTCGTGGCAACTCTGTAACATTTTAGTATCATTAGTACGCATTATTTATTTTAAAATCAACTTAGAAAGCATATTAGTGGTTCTTTTTACCTTGGTAATACTTTTAGACAGTAACTAGCAGTAATAAATCAAATTTTACATGCTTTAAGTTCCGTGAATTTTTTCAACAAATAACAGCTGTTTGAAAATTCAACAGGAAGCCTTTTGGGTCGTTCCCTTAATTGCTGAAATTTTTTGTTGAATTTTCAACAATTCAGCAATTCAACAGTTTAGGGAATCCCCCTTATGTTGAATTGCTGAAAAGCCAGAGTTGTCATCTTTTTTTTAAAAGTCGTGGCAACTCTGTAACATTTTAGTATCACCAGTACGCATTATCTATTTCAAAATCAACTTAGAAAGCATATTTGTGGTTCTTTTTACCTTGGTAACAATTTCAGACAGTAACTAGCAATATTAAATCAAATTTTTCATGTTTAAAGTTTCGTGAAACTATTCAACAAATAACAGCTGTTTGAAAATTAAACAGGAACCATTTTAGGTCGTTCCCCTAATTGTTGACATTTTCTGTTGAGTTTTCAATTCAATTCAGCAATTTAACAGTTTAGGGAATACCCCGATTTTTTTTAAATTTTTTCAAATGTACAACCGACACCTATCGATACCTGCGCCGATACCAGACCTTTCGCACACCGATATTTCCGCGATATTTCAGACCGCGTTTTCCACACTGGCTGATGATGTTCAATTTTGCCCCTGCTTATTTGGTAAACACTACACTTGCGTTTTCAAGTCAAAAATTGCTCGAATAATATATGATAGCCATCATATCGTAAGGAAAAGGAAGCCGGCGTACAGAGCTCGATGCGCGGCCAGCAGAGGCAGCGGCAGAGGCAGAGGCAGAGCAGCGCCAAGCAGAGAATCTAAGGTCACAGCGACACAAAAAAGGGACATCAACATCGATTTTTTTGCACCCTTTTCTTTTTTTTGCGCGTGGGGCACAATATCTGTACGCAAACAAAGAAAGAGGCGGCGGCGGTGGGGGCGTGAGTGCGCAGATTTCAGCGAAGATGAGCGGTGGCGGCGGCGGCGAGGAGGAGCAGCATCTGCCAGGTGTTTCCAGGTGACTAGATTCGTTCATATGAACTTACACATTGCTAACCCACTTTTGTGATCCCCTTCCAGTGCATCAGGATCGGCGGCTGGAACGACTGGCGGTCGAGCCACGCCCGAAATGAAGCGCTCGGCGGTGCGCAGCCTCATCCAGCGGTACTTCCACCAACTGCAGTCCGGCTGCGGGAACGCCCACTGCAGCAACGCCAACTGCGCCTCCAGCGGCAAGGTGGCGCCCATGACGCCCAACGAGGTGGCCGCCCGGGCACTGCAGCTCTTCTCGCAGGACGCACAGCTCTGCGAGGCGTCCACATCGGCGGCCAGCAGGTGGGAAATCCTTCTTACACAAGTCAGGATTTAGGAGTAATTTATAGTCTTCTGTTAGGTATTTGTGGTCTAGTGGTTGCTAGGAACCATTTGGGATACTTTATGGTGTCCACTAGTTTGGTAGTTGGTAGTAGTTCCCTGAATTCCAGGCATTTTAAGGTTTATAAACTGATTTTTTGACCTAATGTTTGGCTAAGCCGGTGATCTTTCAGGAAACCAGTCTTAAAACTAAATTTCATACACCATGTATACGTTTTTTAAAGCATTTTTCTTAAGATTTAACTCCCCTGACCTATAGTTAGTTCCTTTAGTGGCTAGGAACCAAATGGTGTCCACTAGTTGGTAGTAGTTCCTTGAATTACAGGCACTTAAGGCATTTTTTGGTCCAAACCGGTGATCTTTCAAGAAACCAGTCTAAAAACTGAATTTATCATCGTCTACAAGTTTATCAAAGCATTTTTCTTAAGATTTTTTTCCCCTGACTTGTTAAAACCCACAATCTGCACCTTGAAATCTCTGAAACTAATCCCCCTATCAGTCCCCAGGACGTGGACATGCTCTCCCCCAACGACAGCAGCAGCAGCAGCAGCGGCAGCTCAACGAGCACCATTACCTCCGCCAGCACGACCACCACGACCAGCAGACAGTCGCAGAGTGCGCCGGCAGCCGTTGTGGTGGCTGTCTCCAGTCCCAATCCTGTCCAGAGTGTGCCCCAGCTGGATCTCGGCGGCGTGGAGGCCTCCGAGGGCGACTCGGAGCCCTGTACGCCCACCCTGCCGCCCGTCCAGAGCCTGGACGCCAACAGTCTGATGGCTCTGTACGAGCAATGCAGGGCGGCCGAGAGTTACGACCGGATTTGCCACGCCATCGGCGATGTTTTCTCCAGCGTGGACAGACTTAGCAAGAGCTTCGTACGCTGCGCAGAACCAGCGGCTTCCAGTAGCCTCCAGGAGCTGCTGGCCAATCCGCCGGAGGCTTTGAACAAGGAGCAGCTGCGAACGCTGGAGGGTGAGCACGACAAGGACGAGGACAGCACACAGCAGGTGGAACAGCAGGAAGAGGTAGCGACGGAGGAAGTAGTAGCAAATCCTACAGAAGCAGATCCCGAAGCGGAGCCCGAGGAAGAGGACGAGGACGTGCCCATGGCTCAACCGTCGGAGGCAGCGGCCGGGGAGGATCCCTCCCAAAGCAGCGACACGCAGGTGGATTTGCCGGGACTGCGACGTGTGCAGCGGCTCCTCTTCGGCTGCCAAACGCGTGCCATTACGGACAAGCTGACCAGCAGCGTCATCCAATTGGCCGACTGGGTGCACTACATGCGACCCGATTGGGAGAAGGTCGTCCACTGTCTGGTCATCTGCTTCGATCTGGCCACCAATAGTGAGTTATTGAATTTGTACCCTTATGGGATGTTTAATTTAAAGATTGCTTCGCCTTTTCGTAGCCAACAACAGTGTGGTGGACATGGACTACCTGGACAGGGTGCTGCCCAAGCTGTGTCATGCGGCGGCGGCCATGCCTGTGCCCGCCCAGGCGCGTCTGGCCAGGATCTGGGCGGCCCACTGTTCGGATCAGCTGCAGTCATTGGTGGCCGCCTGCCAGCAGCAGATAACGCTGCAGGTGCTCCTGGACGAGGAATCCATGCGCGAGAATGGCTCCATCATCAGCGTGACCAAAGTTTTGAAGGTAATTAACTTGTGGTTGCTTGAAGCTTTAACTTTGCGATTTTTTCTATAAAAACTGGTTGAATGGATTTGATTCAAACCTTTTGTATATTATTAAGTTTCATTTAAATAACATCCACTAATTTTTATAGCCGATACTATCGGCTAATATATCGGTGGCAAAGCCATAGCTGGAACACTATTAAAAAAAGGCGTTTTGCGGTGTTCACTGTACGTTCGCTAAAAATGATCGGATTTCCATTTTGTTTTTACATTTCGCTTAAGAATTAAAAAAACCCGATCCCTGGGAAGCCCTTATTTTGATATTTTATTTTTCACTATTTATTTTGATATTTCAAAGTCAAAGATGCGTTTTTCACCTAAAAAATGTGACTTTCGGCTTTAAAAAAAATTTTTAAGTTAAAAAATAAAAAAAAACGCTTCCCAGGGTTCGCCTTAAATAACTTATTAAATTTTCCGGGAAAATTTTTCCCCTCTATTAGATTGTTTTCTATGCCAACATCCTGGCCAGCGAGCTGGAGCGACCCTCTTGCCGGCTGCCGCTGGAGGGCAGGACGGAAGCAGCGGACACCTCGGCATCCGGCAGTGCAACAGTAGAGGACGATCTGTTCGCCTACAACTCGGTGCTGCAGCCGCACATGCCCAAGTTCGCCGAGGATCAGCTGGAGAAGGCGCTGCAGGTGTGGGCCATCGATTGCCGGAGGCCACTGGTGCCGCTGGAGGAGTTCTACAACGAGGCGCTCAGCGAGAACATCCAGATGCACCACGACTACCTCTCCTACAAGACGTTGGCCATGGAGAGCGAGCTGGGCTCCGGCCACACGAACTATTTCTCGTTCATGCTGTACGCCTTTATCCTCACGCCGGCCACGAAAGTGGATGCCTTGTACTACGACAGCCGAATGAGGATGTACAGCGAGCGCTACACCTCGCTCTACTCGATCCTCAACAACTTTGGCCAGGACGGGCAGGATGGAACTCCGCGGCCGGATCTTAAGCTGACTGTGCGCAGGGACCAACTCATCAACGATGCGCTCATTGGGGTGGGTACTTGTATATTAGAGCCCTGCGTGAATTATTCCATTTTTGGTTTATCATAGTATGCCATGAAATTTCTGATTTGCTTGATTCAATTCTATGTGAAATAAATTGAATGTTTTTCTAATTTATTTCGAATTGAATGAATAATTTTTATGAATTTGCCAGATTTTGTTGTGCCTTTTAAGAACAAGAAGTGGAAATTTTTTAACAAATCAATGTTAACTGCATAACAAATAAAATTCAGGGAATTTTAATCACGAAATGATTACTTCTTCTAAAGAAATTGTCGTTTGAATTATTTCGGAATTAATGCCATTCATTCATTCAATTCTATTAAACTCAAAATTCAAATTCATTCAATTCTATTAAGCTTAAAATTCTAATTAATTCATTCATATAAAACAAAAAATTCAAAATAATTCATTGAATCCATTCATGCTGGGCTCTATTATATATATGCTTCCCAGTTAACTCATAAACTAAAATAAACATTTTTCTTTCAGCTGGAACTGGTGGCCATGAGCAGTCCCAAGGATCTCAAGAAGCAGTTGGTGGTGGAGTTCGTCGGAGAGCAGGGCATCGATGAAGGCGGCGTATCCAAAGAGTTCTTCCAGCTAATTGTGGAGGAGATTTTTAATCCAGCTTTTGGAATGTTCATACAGCAGGAGGAAACCAACAATATGTGGTAGGATTTTAATCGGGTTTATTTTGTATAAAGTACACTATCTACATTATCTTAACCCTCCAGGTTCAATGCCACACCCTTCGAGAACGGCGCTCAATTCACCCTGATCGGTATCATCATCGGCCTGGCAATCTACAACAACGTGATCCTGGCCGTCAACTTCCCCATGGTGGTCTACCGCAAGTTGATGGGCTACTGCGGCACCTTTGCGGACCTCAGCGACTGGAGTCCCACGCTGCACAAGAGTCTGAAGTCCATGCTGGACTACCAGGGCCAGGACATGGAGGAGGTCTTCGACCAGACCTTCAAGATCAGCTACAGCAACGTGTTTGGCGAAATGGTGGAGCACGAACTGGTGCCGAATGGCAAGGAGGTGCTGGTGGGGCAGCACAACAAGCAGCTGTTCGTCAACCTGTACAGTGACTTCCTGCTGAACACGAATATCCAGCAGCAGTTCAATGCCTTCCGCAAGGGCTTCGAAATGGTCACGGATGAGTCGCCACTGAAGCTGCTCTTCCGACCCGAGGAAATCGAGATGCTGGTCTGCGGCAGTCGGGTGAGTAGCGGCATGTTTTTAATGAATGAACTCGTCTTTATTGCTTGAAATTCTCTGCAGGAGTTCGACTTTGTGGAACTGGAGCACTCGACGGAATACGAGGGCGGCTACACGGATGAGACTCAGATTATCCAGGATTTCTGGAGCATTGTGCACGCGATGCCCAACGAGTCGAAGCGCAAGCTGCTTGAATTCACGACGGGATCGGCGCGTGTTCCGGTGGGCGGGCTCAAGTGCCTGCGGCTGTTGATCACGCGACACGGTCCGGATAGCGACCGGCTGCCTACCTCGCACACCTGCTTCAACGTGCTGCTCCTGCCCGAGTACAGCAGCCGCGAGAAGCTGGAGGAGCGCCTGATGAAGGCAATCAACTACTCAAAGGGCTTCGGCATGCTTTAATCCAAGCCCTTTTAGGGCATTCTGTCACCAAGTCCAAACCTCCAAGTCCAAGTCTGTCATCGGAACTGACCCACCTCTCTGGGATGAAGAAGGAGAAGATTTTAATGGGTTTGAGTTCGTTTTGGGTTCTGCCATTTATTTTTGATACGACCTGTTCAATGAGACAATATACATACTGAATATATATGCTCAATTTATGGTGCGATGGCTAGCGAGCAGACCGAACGGACACGCGATTTTGTTTCCCTTTGTCGCCCAGTTAAATGTAAATACACACCACATACCGCATTATGTGCATTCACCTTTGTAACACCCACATTTATACCGCAACGCGCTGAATATTTTCCTAAATAAATTTAAAGTTGTGCGCCGAAGCGACTGCGATTGGAAGTAATTCGTTACTAAGGGTTTAAAGGGAAATATACACATATTATTGAATGTATTAAATGAAATGCTTGTTATTTTTTAACACTGTGGGAAAGATTGATCACTTAGGGTCTCATCTTAGTTAAAATTGAGATTCTTATAATAGAAATTTCCATTGGGTCCCAAAAAAAAAAAAAAAAAAAGGATTTATAACAAATTTTTTTTAAACATTTCAAAGCTTCAAAAAAATTCCCAAATCATTAATTTTTTTTAGTTACGTTACCATTGCTTTCCTGGATAATGTTGATTAAACTTCTAAAAAAAAACCTTCAAAACTTTCCAGTTTTTAGGTTTTCAATATGTATTTCGGAAAAGAGCAAAATAGACTCTTCTCGAAAAATTTTTAAAATATGAAAATCCATTTAAAAAAAACAGTGGGAATACTCTATTCCACACCAGCTGGTCCATAGAATGTTGTGGATTTTTTAGGGTATTTCTTCGAGACATGGTATTCTTTAACGGCCATTCCGCGGTCACACAGTTGTTATTCGCGTTTCTGATTGGAATCCGTGCGGTGTTTCCCGAAACTGAAATTTTTGGGACTCCCTAGTTTTTGATTTTCCCAACACTTTTTCAAAATAATGCAACTAGTATAACGTAAAGTACACTCTAGAAAATCTCAGACGCCGTTCGCGAGTGCTTGTGTGAGTGAGAGAACGCAAATTCCAGCATAAAAAAAATGCAACAACAAAGCGCTTTGTTTTTGTTGCTGCTGGCTGTGACGTCGCAAGGAGCAGTCAGCGCAGACGCCGACGTCGCTGCAGCGGAGTCCAATTGGAATGGTTTGTTTTTAAATTCTAACTAGAATGAGTTCATCAACAGGCACAGAAAATTATACTGCATTCATATGAGCGGCTTTCAAGTGCATCCCACTCACGTAGTCCAGAATACACAGAACAAAATGCATATAACATCACAATAAATTTAAAGAGAGTACAAGTCATTCTGGACCAAACATTAGATCTTCAAATTTAAAATATATTTTTTTAGAACATTTATATTTAATAGTAAAATTGAAGAAAAATTTGCCTTATTTCATTGGACATAGATAGGGATTGAACCCGGCTTTTTGCTACCAGCTAATCTACAATAAATTTTCATTTCAACCCTTATTATTTGATAAATTAAATTTAAGAACAATTTAAGAAATATAATAATTCAATTTTAAATTAAGGGACATATATTTTTCCAACACTTTTTAGTTGCATTTCGAAATACTTTTTTCCCTGTGTATATGTACTACATATCTCTGAGAATTTGTTTATGATCCATACACCATCTCACTTCCCCTCGTCTTTAAAAGTTCCTTTTGTTTTCATTCCGCTTTGATGTTTGCGGTCGTTTACTCTGAAATTGCATGGAAACGGAGCAGATGCAGATGCAAGTATTCAGATGCATCTGCATCCCAGATAGAAGATACAAAATGGTTCTAGAATATTTTTTTTTTACATATTCATAAATTAGCCCCTTTAACCGGCTCAACTTGTTGGCTAATATTCATATGACCGGTTAATGCTCGACATAAAACAATGACTTGACAAAACAATACATATTTAAGTTTTTGTCATTCTAATTTAATCCAATTTCCATAATGTATTTGTGGCCCCATAAAATAATTCATTTTAGATGACAGTAGAGCTTACTATACTTCGACAAACAGTTGCTTGACAATCTTTTAATATAATAGGAATATAAATAAACCAAATTTATTATAAATTCTAGTTAAAAATGTTTTTCTGTAAACCATATTTACCCTCTATAAATCTCTACTAAAAACATTCATCTTAAACTTCCAAACGTTCTGATTTTCTCTCATTCACAGACAAAATCAAAGTGTTCACTGTGGCCACTGAACCCACCGATGGCTATTATAGATATCGCCGATCTTCACGAGTCTACGACATTGAGGTAAGACCCATATTGAATGTGAAATTCTTATTAATTAGAACAATCTAAAATCGTGATAAAGAATCTTTCACACTGGATATCTAAGATGTGGTTTGCGAACAGCCGTTAGATACAATTATTAAGCGGTTGAATATGGAAACTTGACAAGTTGTAAATTGTAGAGACGTTAAAACAAACACGTTGATTAATATGAAGTCAAATATATAACAAACTTATTAGGTCAATATCTCAGATTTGATAATAAAATTAAAAATTCAGCACAATAAATACAGTTATAATATTCTTTCTGACCAAAAATTGGCAAACTTTTATGGTTTTGAGAACATCTGCCGCCAACTGTGTATATGGAAATTTGTGTTGATTGTTATTGATGAATTTCTAATTTGATGTCTCTCAGACAATCGAATCTTCATAAAAACTAGTATATAAATAAGAACATAAAATGTATGACAGATAAGAACTGAGCGAGAATATGTCTTTTATGACTACCAAGACTTGCCCGGTGGCTTGGCACACTTAGGAAACATTGTATTGTTTAAATGTCTGGTTAGTATATAGTAGCTATATATATGTAGATGAATAGTTCTACCCAAACATCCGGCGGCGACCGATTTTCTGATGTGGAGCAGCGAGATTGGCTGGACATTGTGAGGCAAAGAAAACATATAGGTAACATATAGTGCACACATGTTGGAATCACGTAGTCCAGACAGATTGGGTGCAGTTGCCGGGTAATTAGCACAATACATTAAGATTTCGTTCCCTTTCTGTGTTGATAGCTTAGAACTTTCTATACCAAATTAAAGTTAAAGCGAGATTCCGCTTATCAGGCTAAGAATATGTGACACTTTTTGTATGGTTTCAAAATGATTTTTTTATTCAAAAATAAATACTCGACAACAAAATGTGCTGATAAGCTGGTTTACCCGGCTTTTTCATGAAGCTGATCTCTCCCCTTTGTTTTGAATTTCATTTTTGTGTATGTATATATACACACACTCTATAAGAACTGTGCGACCCAAGTCATTTGATCTCGCAGACATTGCTAAGTGAATAAATTTCGGGGGTTGGGTTCTTGACTTATTTGTATGAATATTTGTAATTTCCACTTAGATTTGTTTAATTTATTTTGGTACTTTTTATCAGTCTCTAAAAATAAAAATTAAGTGAGATTGGGAGTTTTGCTCTTAGCATAATTTATGCAGTAGAATTCTTTGGTATATGCTCGTGGACTTAATTTAAAACCTATAGGACTAGTTGTCACCCAGCAACCGCTTATAAATTAAATTCAGAACCACTTGCTACGATATTTTTTGAATGACTGTTTGATAATCCAGTTTCCACTTGGCATCTGTATTAATTCTATAATAACCATAATTTAATCTCCAAAAGGTGACTACTCTTGGCCTGGGAGAAGAATGGAAAGGAGGGGATATGCAAAAACCAGGAGGCGGTTTCAAGCTCAACCTTCTGCGAGAAGCCATTGCGCCCTATAAAAATGATCCAGAAATAATAATCCTCTTTACAGACAGGTATGTACTTTAAGTAGAAGAGAAGAACATCAATTTAATAAATTATATTTTTTAGCTACGATGTAATTATCACGACTACGCTGGATGAGATTTTTGACAAGTTCAAGGAGTCGGGAGCCAAGCTGCTCGTCTCAGCCGAGAAATACTGCTGGCCGGATAAAAGTCTGGCTAACGACTATCCCGAAGTGGAGGGCAAGGCCTCCAGATATCTCAACTCCGGAGCCTTTATGGGATATGCACCACAAGTGTTCGGCCTCCTGGAGGATCCAATTGAAGATACTGCCGACGATCAGCTGTATTTAACCAAGATTTTCCTCGACGAGACCAAACGTGCCAAGCTGGGCATGAAGTTGGACACACAATCGCGGCTATTCCAAAATCTCCATGGCGCCAAGAATGACGTAAAGCTTAAGGTGGATCTCGAGACCAATCAGGGAGTCCTGCAGAATGTGGACTTCATGACCACGCCGGCCATTATCCATGGCAACGGACTGAGCAAGGTGGATCTGAATGCATATGGCAACTATTTGGCCAGGACTTTCAACGGCGTCTGCCTGTTTTGCCAGGAAAATCTCCTAGACTTGGATGTATGTAGTTTTGGATTTGTTTTCTTAGCTTGTTTGTTTATTATTCGATTTATTTTGTAGAACTCCAAACTTCCTGTGATTTCTTTGGCTCTGATTGTCACGCAACCCGTGCCTTTCTTCGACCAGTTCCTCGAAAGCATTGAGAAGCTAAATTATCCCAAGGAAAAGCTCCATTTACTCATCTACAGCAATGTTCCCTTCCACGATGATGACAGCAAGTCGTTTGTGACCAAGCATGGCGAAAAGTACGCCACCGCCAAATATGCACTTTCTACTGATGAACTGGACGAACGCCAAGGCAGGCAGTTGGCCCTGTAAGTCTTAAAAGTATAATCTTAAGTTCAGATGCTGAACTAACAGATTTAGCATGAACTTCTGCATTAATTAAATTAAAAGTTTGCTTGCCTGGAGCTATAAAAAAGCATTACTATACCTATTTCTACTATATTTTTCTTTAATAATTTAATTATTTTATTTTATTTTTTCCAGGGACAAGGCTCGACTCCACCACAGCGATTATATATTCTACGTGGACGCAGATGCGCACATTGACGATAGCGAGGTGCTCCGGGAAATGCTCAGGCTGAATAAGTAGGTCAAGGCTCCTGTAATCTGATTCCAAATAGTAATTATCCACTTGCAGGCAATTTGTGGCGCCGCTGTTCACCAAGCACCAAGAGCTGTGGAGCAACTTCTGGGGAGCCCTTTCCGAGGGAGGTTACTATGCCAGGTCGCACGATTACGTGGACATTGTCAAGCGTGAACTGATGTAAGTAAAAGTTCGGATTTCCGGGGATGCAGGCATTTTATTTTCTTATGTCCAGAATTCCCAAAGATAATATAGGTAGTGTTGAGATTGTTTTTATAAAACGTAGAACCTATATATTTAAAGTTTTCTTAAATATCGTTTGGATCTAAAAAACGATCGACAATTGGAATCAGTTTATTATAAAAGATAATATGAAATCATGATTTTTGGAATATCCCCATGTTTATTATCATAAACAAAAAACGGTTTACAAAACCAAATTACTGCCAATTAAGAAAGTTTTCCTTCGGCATAAAAATAAATTCCTGTCTCAATATGACGGACATATTCACCGAATATTTTCTTATGAAATTTTGAAATAAAAACGATGACAAGGGATTCTTCCGATCAGTCGAAGGCAATGGAGAAATCTGTCTTGAAACTGCGCCGATCGATGGAGTACATGTTGTCCGCAGTGCACTCGTAAAGACCGGCGTCCATTTGGGTAGCCGGATCGATTTCGATCTTCGACTTGACCTTGTCGTCGCCAATTCGCCACTCGTGAACGTGCATATAGAGGTGCTGATAGATCTCCGCCCCGTCCTTGTACCACGTGATATGGGGTCGGGGATTTCCCTTGGCCACGCAGAGAAAGGCGATCTTGTGGCCCAAAACGTACTCAAGATCAAAGTGAGAGGCTTGCAGGATTTTGGCGCCCTAGGAAAAAATTAAGGAACTTTATAAATTTCGGAATTTATTTGGTTTTGACTTTTAAGCATGAAACTTTCACTAAAAATTGCACTTTTAATATACATACACCATAATATACTCACATTATTATTGTTGTAGTACTGATCAGACTCCGGATCTCGATATTTTCCGGTAATGGGCAGACCGATCTGCACCCTGGACTTGGTCCGTCCACGGCCACGCCCTCGTCGCGCCTCGCAAATGGGCGTGGCCAGCATGAGCAGCCCCAAAGCGAGGCAGATGATCAGGCACTTGACCTGCATGACTCTCCGGATAGTGGGGATATATTGCTGGCGGAGATCACGATCGCTTTTTTTCTGCTGCTGGCGGCGTTGCTGTGCGAATCTCGTTTGCTCGGTGACTGATCCACTCGGCCAGACTCTGCACCACTCTGCTCATCTCATCTCAGCTCATCTAATTTGCCACAATTGTCCGGCGGACTTAATCCGTTTGGTGTGCTCTCGAAACTCGCCGCTTGCGGCATTTGATTCTGTGTTGGCTTTCTCATCGCCGCATTTCCATATTTCACTCAATTCCCTGGCTTGATTTTATTTGCACGCTGCCTGATATCGCTCGCCATAGGAGCACCCCTTTCCGTATGGCTTGCTGGGAATCGGTCTAGTTTACAGTGGCCATGGGACGACGGTACTGCGTATGTGGGAGAGTCTATCAAATAGTTTGAAGATCGAATTCATTTTCCAGAAAAAATATTATATTTTAATACGTTTTTCTTGAGATTCATTTTTAAAATCATTAACTCAGGACTCTGCAAATTATTTTAGTCTTCTATTAAATAAATTTATCTTTTGAAATAATCCTTTTGAATTTAATTGAATGAATTTAATCAAATTAATTTAATATCTTTAAAAATACAAAAATTACTCAAGTTCAGTTCAAAGTAAAGCGTTATGGTAAAAATCTTTGTAATTTTATATCATTTCTAAAAAATTGAGTATTAAAATGCCTAGAATAAAAATTACAAATACTCTTAAGCAAATAGATTACAAATATTTTACTAAAAGTAAAACTAATTTAATATTTGAAATCCTTACTCAATCGTTTTGTCCCACTGTATCCTTTTGGAGGCTGTGGAGCACTCAACACTTTTGAACCAAAAAGCCTCGGTTTGTTTGGTTTGCTTTCACACATTTTAATAAAATAAATGCAAAAAAATTACTTGAATTGGGTAATTGAGTCAATTTGTCGGCTTTGTGCGCATACACACTTGGGTATTTTAGAACTCACAGATACGGACACAGGTACATACATAAAAGGCGAAAGGTCGTACTCAAATAGATGTTAAGTTTCCACAAAGCGAGACGCAAAAAAGTATTTTTAAATAATTTTTTATTTAATTGTATGCTTTAAAGTTACATTTCAGTTTACAGGGTCAGAGATTTCAATTGTGCATTTAAAAATGGTATTTGTAAACTTGGCTCAAAAGTTAACCATTACATAGTCCGTGCGAAAACCGCGACGATCGATGGCGTAGATATTGTCCGCTTGGCACTCGTAAAATCCTGAGACATAAATCGAAAAACATTATTAAAATTACTTATTTTAATAAATACAAATTCTTTAACAGTTTACTTACCAGCATCCATTTGTGTGGTTGGATCAATTTCCATTTTAGATTTAACAATGTTTCCATCAATATGAGATTCGTGTACCTGTTGAAGCAAAGAACATTTTATAAGATAATATTTTGGAATATATCTTTTCTTGATTACCTGGAAGAATCGATGCTGGTAGAGCTCTGCTCCATCCTTGAACCATGTGATAGTTGGCCGTGGGTTGCCTAAAACCGAGAAATCCCTGGACTAAGTGATTCATTTAACCTATACATATGTTACTCTCACCTTGAGCCATACAAAAGAAAGTAATCTTGCGTCCCAGGGTATAGTCCAACTCGAAGTGTGAAGACTTTATGATCTTGGCGCCCTGAATAATATTTTTATAATTTAATATATTATAATTGAGATTATTTATCCTTGACCCACTCACATTCTCGTGATCATAATAGTTGACGGCATCCTGTGATCGGTGTTGGATGACCACGGGTTTTTTGCCCGTATAGTTGCGACGCTCCGTCTTTCCCGCAGTACTTCCTACGAAGATATCCATTGTTTAAATCTTATATTAGAGCATTTTAATTATACTTGCTTTGGGCTGCTATATAGATGAGATCCCCGAATATTAAGAAGCAGAAGCAGAGGAGTACAATCCGATCTAAATTCCAGATGCCACGAGGCATTATTGTCGAGCCGGGATTCCGATCGTTTACGGTGAATGTTGTTTTCAAACTGCGCTCCCGAGTTCCGAACAGAACGCCATCCACTCCGTTCTAATCTGAGCGCTTTGATTGAATTAAGTGGATCTAGTTGGGGGCCTTTGGCGGTGCGACGTCACTTTCCATTTTTGCAACATTGTTGCAGATTCGCTGGACATCGGAATCGTTGTGCTCTCGACTTTATCGGTCGCCCTGTTTTGACTACGACATTCATCACTTTTATTTTCCCTTCTTTTCCAGCGGAATATTCAATGTGCCCCATGTGACAAGTATTTATCTGGTGAAGAAGTCTGCCTTCGATGCCATCTCCTTCAAGCATAACGATTTCGATTCCGACATGGCCATGTGTGAGTCTCTAAGGAATGCGGTAAGTTTTAAGAAATATGGGAAAATTAATTAAAAATCATTGTCGAATAAAATTATTTTTTCACCTATTTTAAAAACCTGATTTTCTTGAGTCTAACGATACAATATTTAGTTTACCTTTAGTATTCCATATTTATACGTTTTTTAGTCCATTTGCGATTAGATTTATCAAATGCTTTTAATTTTTAACACAATTTGTCAAGATTTTATGATAAATATTTTAAGATATTTTAATAAATTTTCAGGAGATTCTGGAATGTTTTAGACTATTCTAACCACATTTTATTCGACCCAATCTTCAGTTAATTGCGAAACTATATTAGTCAGTATTAACGTGTCCACTCTTCTCCTCAGGGCATCTTCATGTACGTTAGCAATCTGCGCACTTTCGGCCACTTGGTCAACGCCGATTACTTCAATAGTACGGTGACACGTCCGGATTTCCATACGCTGTTCAGCAACCGCTTAGATTGGACGAAGAAGTACATTCACCCGAACTACTCGCTCCAGCTGAACGAAGACTACACGATTCCGCAGCCGTGCACGGATGTCTTTTGGTTCCAGATCGTGACGGACGCGTTCTGCGACGATTTGGTGGCCATCATGGAGGCGCACAACACCTGGTCGGACGGCAGCAACAGCGATAGCCGACTGGAGGGCGGATACGAGGCGGTGCCCACGAGAGACATCCACATGAAGCAGGTGAACCTGGATCAGCTGTATCTCAAGTTCCTTCAATTGTTTGTGCGTCCGCTGCAGGAGCGTGTCTTCACTGGCTACTACCACAATGTGAGTTATTATATTAATATAAAATAATAATATATAATAATATTAATTAATTTTTCCGTAGCCTCCCCGATCGCTTATGAACTTCATGGTGCGCTATCGACCGGATGAACAACCGTCATTGCGACCCCATCACGACTCCTCCACCTACACCATCAACATCGCGATGAACCGGGCGGGAATCGACTACGAAGGCGGCGGCTGTAGGTTCATTAGGTACAACTGTTCCGTGACCGAAACGAAGAAGGGTTGGATGCTGATGCACCCCGGTCGACTGACTCACTACCACGAGGGTCTGCTTGTCACCAAAGGCACTCGCTACATCATGATTTCCTTCATCGATCCGTAGAGTAGCTATAAGATATACTCTCAATCAAACTGCCATATTGGCCACTCCAAAGAACTGCAGACTAAGCCCAATGAACTACTTTGTTCCGATGGAATTGCGGCATCGGCCCTCCGTTTCTGATGATTTTACACACTACTTTGAGATCGATAGCTTTAGGTTCCCCCAATGAATCTGTTGCAGCCTTAAGTTAATTGTAAGATTTTTTACCAAGTGCAAAGTGTTCAATTTTTGACTAAATAAATTAATTCATTTATTGATTAACTGATTTTGGTTGTTATTGGTTATTCGAATTATCTGTTTTTAAAATGGTTTTTGGGGCTAATTTAGAATAGTAATATATTTTGGATATGAATCCTATTATTTGGAACTGTCCCATAGTATCGCTGTCAACGAAATGCTGTTAAGTCAGCCGCTGTTACATCAGCTGTATCACCCAAGCAGTACAGCACCACTAACAGCTCCGCCTCCCACGCAAGCAACATTAACAGGCAGCGGGTCTTATACGAACTTATACCCAGCAAGCAAAGTTATGTGTCTGATGAAGTATAGTTTTAGAGCCTTTTCTAAGTAGTACAATTGTAGTAAATCTGTAGATTCCAGATCATTGCGCCGTAAAGGTTCTCACACCACAAAAATATTTGTAGAATAGTTTAAAGCGCAAGTGATTAGACCGCTGAACTACCGAATTTCACACTTTTGGAGTAATTTTTAAGGCAAATCGCCCTTGTGTTTAGAAAAATTTAGGGCAATTCGCCGTTGGATTTAGAAAAGGTCAAAATATTAGAAAAATAGAAAAATTAGCCCTAAAAATATTTTTTTATGGTCACCTGCCTTGAATTTATGGCAAATTTGTCGTGAAAATATAAAATTTTTCTCAGTGCAAGGCGAAAATTTTTTTAGGGCAATTTTTTAAAATGTAGAAAAATATTTTTACGAGTGTATAAAAAAGTATCAGCAAACATACGGAAAACGCTCAAGTTGTTTGCTGGGTTATTCGAACTTATACAAAGAACTTATACAAATTTGTACTTACTCCATGTATTTAAGCGCTGTGCAAGGCACGCTCTCTGTTATTGCTCGATTTTCGTCCGCGAAGCTGGTTTGTTCTTATTTTCAAAAATAACAAGGAGTATCAATAAAAAACTAGCTCTAAGGCCAAACAAAACATTCAAAAATCATCAAATTAGCTTGCGAATTTAAACACAAATTTAGGGATATTTTGAACCAATTTTGATTTTGCAGACTTATTGTGCGGGTGTGCGGTAAATTTACAGTTAGTTGCGCAAAGTGCGTGTTTAAAAATAGCAAAAACAAGACGCTGGAGGAGAAACCCGAAATAAATATGGAGAGGAATAAATGAATGGCAAAGAGAAATGCAAATTTATCGGGTCGGTCAATTTAAAAAGCCGCATCCTGGAAAAGTGTCAGTGTTGTTGTGTGGCGCGCGTGTGTGTGTGTCTGTGAAATAAACAAAAAGGCGAAAGTTTACGCGCTCTTCCTCTCTCTTTCTCTCTGAGACGCCCTCTCTTTCGCTCTCTCTGTCTCTCTCACGGGACGAATTTCCTTCGATTTTTCTTCCGCCTGCTTTTCCTGTTTCATTTCCCTACATTTTTTTTATTACATGAGTGTGTGTGTGTGCCATCTCACACCTTCTGTTTTTGTTGTTGTTGTCGCTTTTAGCCTCTCCTGTTGGCCAAGTTTCAATTTTTGTTGCCTGGCAACCGTTAAAAAAAACAACAGCAACAAAAACAACAAACGCAGGCCAAGGGACATTTTCATTTTTGAAAACATTTGCTCTCTTAAAAATAAAAAGGAAGAAATCCAGAGCCAGACAGTCTGGAAAATCCATACAAACACAAATTTCGCCGGCACTAAAAACCGAAAGTGGCTGTATCCTCGATTTTGATGAGCAGCCAACAGAGATTTCCGGTATCCAGCCAAATGGCGAGGTGGAGTTCCACGCTCCAGGTGAGTGCAAGTGCTATATTCGTACCACCCCGTTTTGATATCACCGCACACGGCGAAAAAACACTTCCTCTTTGTGTCCCACACTTTCTAAATTTACTCTTTTATCTTAATGTTATCAGAACCTAAGACGAAAGTTAACATCAAGTGAAATGCGCATAAGGAAATGAAATTCAAAACACTATCACCAGAAATATTTCGGAAAAACCCTTTTAATTACATGATTGATGGGGACTTAAAGTTTTCCATTGCAACTTATCTTGAACATTTCCTCGCTAGTTCTCTCGTCTTAATGGTAGGCTATATTTAGCCATACTAGATAGCGTATTGAATTTTTAAACTTTTTTTTTTATTATTATTAGTTTAAAAAATGATTTTAGAAAACATTTATAAATTATTTTACGACACACCCTTTGAATTTTTTCTTTTTTAAGTTAGTGCTACAAGAACGAAAACAAAAGTTAATTTGAAATGAAATGCTCATGTGGAAATGTTCTAAGCACTATCTAAAAAAACATGTTTTAGGAAAACCTTTTAACTACATGATTAATTGGACTTAAATCTAACAATGAATTTGTTACCTAATATTATAATATTTGATTTAAAGACTTAACAAACTTAATGTTTTAATTTTTTATTTTAATTGAGGAAATTTTAATACATTCATATAATGGTAAAAAAGTTTTTCACAATGTATACCACTACCTTAAATATCGTATTGCTAAGTTGATTTTTTTTTGTGTAGCTAAGTTCGCATGTGTGTTCCGATTGCTTGGTATTTTCTATTAGCGGGTGCTGGATTTTCCTTCATCGTCGCCGTGAGCAGCTGCTAATGGCTTGTGAAAAAAGTAAACGAAACTGAGCGAAAGGGGCTTAGAAGGAGGTGGGAAAGTTGGGGGAGTTTGGAGGGCGTAGGGGCCTCATAGGGAATAGGGAAAATGGCTAAGCATGTGTGAAACTTCCTCACAATGGGAAAACATATGGTGGCAAGTTCAGTGCTTAAAGTCCGGGAACGCAAGTTACCACACTTGATTTTATAGCCCATCAATTTCTTGTACACTTGAGTGCTGGGCATTTAAATTATGTTCTCAGATCTTTTGGATTCGATTTAATTCAAAAAGTCCTCAGGATCATCTGTTATTATTTTAAAATATGTTGTTGATTTCTAAAAGCCTGTTTATTTTAGGTTTTCGCCATGTGTCAAGAATCTAGATTTTTTTATTACATTTTTAGGGTTGACAAAGTTTTTAATTTCTTTTAATGGAAACGTAGAAAAACATATGCTGCAAATATTTAAAATTTTGTAAGTATTTTTAGCAGGTCTATTAAGTTTTGACCGACTGATATACATATTTCCATATTTATTTCCGTTCGTTATACGAACCCCTAATGAACCTTAGCTTCAATTTTATTACTAAACAAAATAAGCTGCTGGCCTCTCATCAGTTTGATGACCCAAGCCGAGAATCTGTCGTTCAAAATGTCGTTGCCTTCGGGAGGGGAGCTCTTTATGGGACCAGGGCCTTAAATCAAATTTACATCCCAGCAATCATCGTAAAAGAAAGCAGCTGAGCTGGCCCGAGGCAGGTGGACAAATGTGCACCTCCTTGGTGGAGAGGTTTCCTCGTAGACACATATGCAAATGATGGCCCAGTGCCCCTTTCTCCACTCCCATGTGCGTGCGTGCGAAATCTGCGAGCTGAGGCAAAATGATTAACAAAGGCTCCCTGAGGTGCGGCAACAAGGAAGGTGGTACAAGAAGTGGGCGGGGATTTGTACTAGCCGAGCACTGGAAATATAAGACTTGAAGTTTATTAAAAATATTCAGAGTTTCCATTATATTTAAAAGAAAAATTATTTGCAAGGCATGACAAAGCTAAAATTTATAAGGAAGTCCTTGTAGCACCAGGAAATAAAAAAGAAATAAAATTAAAATTAAAATTAAAGCCTTACAGAATCAAAATTGATCTAATATTTCTGTAATATTTTTTACACATATTTAAATATAATACATTTTAAACGGATATTACTATAAATTATTGAAATCGACCTGTTTATAAATGATTATAAACTATAGTTTATTATTTTAAGTTGGAATATTACAATTTTATTTTTTCCTTGGTGTACTCATATGAGGAATTACATCCATCGTCAGTGACACGGACACCGACTGAGACAGATCCTGGGGAAGAGGCTCGCCCCCTCGGGACAGGCGCAGTGCGGTTGTCAAAACAGGGCCCAGCCCGATGCCCACTGCCCTAATGGCAGACCGACCCCCCTTCACTCTTCTCGCCCGCCTCTGTGCTGGTTAATGACATTTGAGCGAGGAGCGGGAGCGGGAGCGGGCCAAAGGATCCCCGCCGGGGACTCAGGCCGAGCGAGTAATTTGTGTCACGTTTTAATTTTTGACGCCGCAAAGGACGTTCAAGTGTCTCCCCTCGTGATTATGACAATTAGGATTGCGTTGGAATCCTTCTCGGTTATTTTGTTTCGCGTATTTAAAAAGGTTTATTGTGTAAGCCTCGCCGAGGGAGCCTTTGTCCAACTTATGTTTGTGCCCCATTAAAGTGAGTTTCATGGGGAGTCTGCAGCTGGGAATTAAAAATAATTACTTTTAAGCCATAACGCCATATGGTAGTTTCAATTAGTAAATTGTGTTGTTGTAAACGCTATTTTCTAAATCTTCTAATAGAATAATTTATTAAATTGTATATTCCTTGTTTGCTTATTCAAATTTGTGGAAGAAACAATTAATAAAAATTAAATAGATTTAACTATGACTAATGGCACAGATTAAATGATTTACTCTGTGAAAATAACAGAGTTAGGTTTTTGTAAAAACAGTACAATTTTTCGCCGGGCAGAGGATATTTGAAATCCATTTAAATTGAATCAAAGCTGTTTTGACATAAAATTCATTGACTTTTATCCTCTATCAGTCGATTGGATAACTATTTTATCAACTGAACCAATTTGCATAAAAATATTTTAAAATATGCCATCGCAGTAATTGGATAGACTTGCATATCAATCAATTTGTCGCTTAATTGCCATTTTAATATTAATTCTGTGCCGTGGACGTCGAGTCTTTGACTCAAAGCGCCGCAAAGTCGGCTGAAATGCGTCAGTGGAAAGTCCGCAGTCATTAGCCGTGATTTCTCTTCAGTTTTCCTCTCCTGAAACGCACTTCAAAAAAGAAAATCCTTCCCTCAGCGGGCTGTCAAATGGCTGGTCCTTTTGCCTTGGAAGCTGACAGGCAGCTTAAAAAGTGGCAAAAAAAAAGTCAAGCTCGGATC